CAAAGTCAAAGACGCACACACAAGCAATTCATCTTGGATCTACATTACAGTTAAAGGTTGTTTAACTTATAAAATCGTCAATCAAATCACTCTGTACCCGCAAATGCGTCTCTCTCAATCTCCGTCTCTCTCCCTCTCTCCCTCGCGCTTGTCAACAAAAACTCTCATGTCCCGAACAACCACTCACATTACACAAAACACCAGTGAGGGCGGGACTTAATTCACATAAACCAATAACTAATCAAACACCTAACTTGATGGTTAAAGCCACGTTTTCCACAAGTACACCTCTATCAAACTTGTATCTCATGCACGCGCGCTCTTAAAGGCACAAATACACGTATGATCACAAACAAAGATGAATGGTTAATTCACATTTTCTCTCTTAATTAAACAAATACAAGCTAATAAATTGAAGTAACTTATTAACAACACAGTTATAACCTACTGGGTTACACTTAGTTATTCATTATATTTGTTAGATTGCAGTCTTCGATTGTATTACTTACTACTGAATTTGTTTCATCATTCAAAAGTGTCATGTGTACAAGTTACATGTGTAGGCCTATATCTCCACAATGTTTACTTAAAACTATTTTCAATAAAAATCAATGTAAACCTTTTGATTGATTATTGTAATATATATATATTCTTGCATAATATATTCTATTCTATGTAACTAAATAAAGTGATCATTTGTTTTATTGTTAAAAAGTGTCCTTTTATTTATATGAATGAGGCAACTTTTGAATAATTACATCAGATCAAACTTTCATCATCATTGTAAAGGAACAACATGCTTAGGGGTTCTCTCTAGCGAAGTGCAAAGTCTACGTTGACCGTAGACCGCTACGGCGCGTCGTTGGCCCGGAGTCTACGTTCACTGTAGACTCTAGGCCAATCAGAGAGCCGAAGTGTCTACGTTCAGCCGGCGAGCGTAGACTACCAATCAGAGCGAATAGGCTTTATGCACAGCTTCACTACTTCCTGAACTTCAGCCAGCCCTTTGTTTCCTGTCTGTCATTATTGGACAAACTGATTAATCCAGGTGTGCCTGATTATTGTTACTGAGGCCAGGCACACCTGGATTAATCAGTTTGTCCAATAATGACAGACAGGAAACAAAGGGCTGGCTGAAGTTCAGGAAGTAGTGAAGCTGTGGCATAAGGCCAATTCTTTTCAGAATTTGAAGGTAAGTGACAATGATATATTATCGTGCAAAAAATGATAAATATGATTGTATTATGTGTCAAAGTACAAGCTAAACGTGATGCATGACTATACTTGACTGTTTATTAAATGATGTGTGAGAACGAAGCGTCTGCTAGCACGTTTCATTCATTCTATAATTATGTTAGATTGCAGTTTTTGATTGTATTATTTTGTTATTCATTATATATGTTAGATTGCAGTCTTCGATTGTATTACTTACTACTGAATTTCCATAGATGAACACCTTGTAAAAAAAATAATGATTAGCTCACACAAGGTAAACAATAATAAACGCCTGCAAGGGTGTGTAGGATTACACATTTAGGAATATGTTTAAGATCAACTGATCCTACATGCTTATATAATATAGTATACACTCCTATAATATATAATACACTTCTGTACTGCGCAGAGCAAAGTCTACGTTGACCGTAGACCGCTACGGCCCGTCATTGGCCCAGAGTCTACGTTCACTGTAGACTCTAGGCCAATCATACCCCTTTTCCACCAACGCATTTTGAGAGCCGGTTCGGAGCCGGTGCCTGCGCGCGAACCAGTTTCGACAGCCAAAGAACCGGTTCTCGGCCAGGAAAACTGGTTCCAAAGCGGCACCAACTCTTTGCTGGACTAGAACCGTTCTTTTACCACGTCATGCTTACCTCGGGGGCTGGGGGCGGGTTTAGATAACATATTTTCTGACATAATAGGATCGCAAAGCCAGGAGAAACATTTGCAGAAACACGATGTAGTCTGCCATTGTAATTGTTATGCTTGAAGTTGGCGCAAGCGTTTCTAGTTTTTTTTTATTTTATTTTTTTATTGAAAACGTTATGTAAGCAAAGGAGAAAACAGTCACAATATAGAACAAATAAATGGAAAGAAAAAAAGAGACACAAGACAGGAGTACATAACTAATCAGAAAAGATTACATATCAAAGGAAAAGATTAAAATACTTACATATTTCATTTTTTTTTAAAGCCTTCTTGGTTCACGAGTTAGAGATAATCCCAAAGTAATGTTCTTCTTGCAAGCGTTTCTAGCTAAGATGTATGGCGACGTACACAGTGACGTAACGACGTCGTTCGCTGGGCGCTCTAGTCAGTGGAAAAACAAACAGGTTCTGAGAAGGTTCGCAAGTTGAACCAACTCCGAACCAACTTTGAACCAGCACCAGTTCCGAACCAGTTCGTTTTTGGTGGAAAAGGGGTATCAGAGAGCCGAAGTGTCTACGTTCAGCCGGCGAGCGTAGACAGAGCGAACAGGTGATGGAGATCGGATTAAGTACAAGCTAAACGTGATGCATGACTATACTTAACTGTTTATGATGTGTGAGAACGAAGCGTCTGCTAGCACTTTTAATTCATTCTATAATTATGTTAGATTGCAGTCTTTGATTGTATTACTTTGTTATATATGTTAGATTGCCGTCTTCGATTGTATTACTAGTGAATTTCCATAAATGAACACCTTGTAAAAAAAAATAATGATTAGCTCCAACACCATGCAGTAAAGGGTAAATGGTGTGTTCACACCGAACGCGAATAGTGCGTCAAATACGGAGATACGCGTCTATCGCGTCTAGTTAGACGCTTGAACATACGCTCGAGTTCAAATTTTTCAACTTGCGCGGAAGACATTCGCGGCAAACGCGTCGCCCAATTCGCGTCATTCGCAACGCCCGGCCCGAATGATGCGTCTATTCGCGTCTTTGCATTGAGTATGTAATCTACTCGCGCAAATAATTAAATTCGCGTTCGGTGTGAACACACCATTAGATCTGCTGATCCCACATGCTTATATAATATCACATGAAAAGTTAAGGTGAACCACACTATATTGGGCATTCAAGGTGAGCGTGATGTCATCAATTTTGGGGGTTTTATATGTGTGAATGTTTACATAACCTTAGTTATTGTGACCAGGTGATGTGTATTGTGGAGGACCATTTATCAAATTATCACAGTATGATTAGATTTAGTAGTCCTCTCTAAGGCTGTTAAGGTCAACACTTGGATTGCCCACTGAATGTATAAGATACCATGTAAAGTTCCCTCAATCAGACTAAATTTGGAAGACTTGCAGCATCAGATAGACTAGACACTGGGGTAGGTGAGATGTTGCAAAGTGTTTTTATAACACTTTGAGTATACTGTTTTTTTATTTATTTTTAGACAATTGACCAGACATGGACCCCTTATTGTGTATCCTCGACACAAGTGTGCCAAAGGAAAGGCAACAATGCCTTCTTAAGGCAACAAAGGAGGCCAAGGCGTATAAACCGTGCCAAACCACGGACGACGGTGACCTGAGGGATGACCTTGGGGACATGGATGTTTTTTCCACCTTATATTTCCAACGCAGTCATGATAACCTACTGTCACATGTGCTTGCGTGTTATCAAAGGCCGAACAATTTCTGTTTTCAGCTAAAGAGAGATGCCGGCTGGTCATGTCCACACTCCAACGGAGGCGCAGTGTTTGGGTCAGCTAATAATCACGTTTGGGAAATACAACGGGAAAAATGTCAAATGGCAGGTGGAAAATGATGTTGGATACATTAAATAGTAAGCATGTTGCACTAAACAGAATCCAAGTAATTTTACCACCATTACATTTGTTGTGGTATTTTAATTAAAAAATAATATAAAAAGTAAGCAAAAATAATAATAATGCAATAGCAAATGCTTTATTATAATTGTGAAATCTTTATGATAAAAAAGTGGTTCACTTTTTTTTCTTTTCTTTTTTTTAGCCCAGTATGATCACTCTCTTCCCACCACTGAAAAAGTCTGTTTTAAAAAAATCCTTTGTTCATCTTCATAAACTGGCATAATTATGCATGTTTTTAATTTTTGTCATTCTATGTTTTTAACACTAGGGGATGCTATACATACATTTATTTCTCTCATGGCAAGCTGACTTTTTTGACAATTTTTGCCCTGTCCCAAATGGAACCCTAAGCACTCGCGGTCTTCCTCTGAGTCCGCACTTTCGCGACGTAACGCCGCTTTGAATGTCGGGAAGAAGTCTGCTGTGGAGTCCGCATCAGCGTGGGCTCGGCAAAAGTGCGCATCAAGGGCGCAAATCGACCGCAGAGGGGGCGCTCGTGAGCACCCTTCTGAGATCTAAAAATGACAAATGGGACACACTGCGGTCTCACGGACTTAACGGACACGCGCACGCGGCAGCCATTGTAAGTCCACAAGACCGAAAGTGCACATGAAGTGTGCCATTTGGGACAGGGCCTTTCTGTAGAAGTGCCATTCATTCTGAAAATGATTTAACTCATAGTCCATATTACCTTTACGGAAGCGTATTGCATTCACTTGAGGGAAAAAAATCGACTCTGTTTTTCTGAATTAACAAGTTAATTATCTCAGAATTACGAGATATTCTTTCATGAAAAAAAGTTTTTGCTCTGTTTTTCTGAATTAACAAGTTAATATCTCAGAATTATGAGATACATTTTTCTTGAAAAACATTTTTTTCACTCTGTTTTTATGAATTAATGAGCTACTCATAATTTTGAGATAATTAAGTCATTAATTCAGAAAAACAGAGCAAAAACTTTTTTCCATGAAAAATGATCTCGTAATTCTGAGATAATTAACTCGTTAATTCAGAAAAACAGAGTAGATTTTTTTCCTCAAGTGAATGCAATACGCTTCCGTACCTTTGAAAGCCGGAGTGATTTTTCATTTTCCATAAATTGTATATAATCAAGCAGCTCGGTTGTTTTCGTACTGAAACCACATTGTGAGAGAAAAAATAGCACAAGAGCCCACCGATTTTGTGAAATTACAGTATCTGATATGTATTTAATGTAACATATTTAAGGAAAAGAGAAAATACACAACACTGTACAGATATAAGAAAATATATGACAAAATATTTTTGACAATGCCTTAAAAGATATGTGCTTATTGTATGAGGCCAATAGTGTTCGTTATACATAGAATACATGCACAACATTTTTGGATATTTGAATTTGATTATTCTATAAATGTCAAGTACTGAAATTGTGCAATAACAAATTGACGAACATGGTGTGTCTGGCTATAAAACATGTTAATCAATGAGTAAGAATTCCTTATAACACATTGCAGACCTTAAAATCCCCACATAAAAGTATTAAAATATATATATCACACAAAAAGTAGTGTCTTTCCATACTTTCCATATCTCCAGTACTAGTCCTTTCCTTCTAAACCCACACCTTTCCCTTCCCTTCTCTTTTCCCAGATTGCTGTCCACAGCATCCCCCTGCCAGGCCGCGGTGCTGGGTCGCGGGAAGGTTTTTGTAAACGGCCCGGCTGTAAGGAATAAAACACAGACCCAGCTGAAGGTGACGAGCGAGCCGACAGTACGCGGCCAAGGCCAGAACCAAGAGTGGAGTCACTAGCAAGAAACCCACAACCAGCAGAGCCACGCAGCCGCCGTCATTCAGCAGGTCCGAGCAATACGGCGGCGATCCGTGCGGGCGCACCTGAACACAGAGACATTTGACCATTTTTGTTCATTTACATTCATTCATTTCATTTTGTAATTGATTTGTAATAAACACTTTAAGTGGGCTATTAGAAAAGTGTCATTTATTTGTTAAATTATTATTTATTTTTTTAAACATTGCGCAGAGTGTGACGTCATATTGTGACCGTTGCAGTGTGCGTATAAATAATTAGTTGGCTGTGTTTTAGCACAGTTACAGCATCTCGTGTTGGATATATGGCTCTTGTTTCGCTGGAAGGAACATGCCGACTTTTTGGGACTTGAGCTTATTCACCGTATCCCCCAGAGTTAGATAAGTCCATACATACCCTTTTCATCTCCGTGCGTGCCGTAACTCTGTCTGACGCACCCACCGCTAGCCTAGCTTAGCACAAAGACTGGATGTAAATGGCTCCAGCTAGCATACTACTCCCAATAAGTGACAAAATAACGCCAACATTTTCCTATTTACATGTTGTGATTTGTATGGTCACAGTGTGTACAAATAACAAGGTCATATGAGAGACACAGCCATCTTTTAATCGTATACATACTGGGAACTATATTCTCAGAAGGCGAAGCACTGCTACTTGGGCGGAGTGATTAGCGCAACACTCTGAGCAAACTCTCTGCTCCTCACCATGGGGCTTCTCAGGTGCTGCGAGCAAATCACTCCTCAGAAATAGCAGTGTTTCACCTTCTGTTGAAAATGTTGGCGTTATTTTGTCACTTGTTGGGATTAGTATGCTAGCTGGAGCCGTTTACCTCCAGTCTTTGTGCTAAGCTAGGCTAGTGGTGGGTGCGTCAGACAGAGTTACGGCACACACGGAGATGAAAAGGGTATGTATGGACTTATCTAACTCTGGGGGATACGGTGAATAGGCTAAAGTCCCAAAAAGTCGGCGTGTTCCTTTAATAAAATTAGAGCTGCTATTAAAAATAAAAAAGTAGAAATAATTCGTCCGCTCTACTCCTGAGCGCAAGTCCACCAGTGTTGTGTAAGATAGGCACCTTTTTACAGTCTATGGTAGGCACTAGGCATGTTTTTTGTGTTTATTTTTATTTCCTGTCGCTGTGGAGTCTCTTTTATTGTATATGACAGTGTAAACAGCTCAACAACCCTTTTTTTAAAGGCTTGATTTATGTCCCGTAGACCGTTCGGTTAACAATTGAATAAAGCCGTATCAATAATGTCAAAAATGTGATGTGCAGTCAAAATGTCCGGGACGGGTGCGTGTGTGTGTGTGTATGCTGTTTAAACGAGTGTATTAACTGATACGCTTGTTGTCTTTCGCAGAGTTTTCCAAAGGAGGGATTTGGAGAGTGAATCTTCAAACGAACCCCCCACAACAACACAGCACCCCCAACCTAAAACATCTTCCCTCGCCCCTGTTTAATTGGTGTGGGGTTGGGGATAAGAGGTGGAATGTGTGTGTAGGCATGAATGAGTCTCTGAGGTGTGGACAGACAAACAACAGATACACTGGGCAAGAATGTTTGCCGACAGCACATATGCTCATTTTCCTTAGTGAGCTGATCGTTCGTTACATCCATCTGTAGGTTTACATGCATCCAAGAAAAAAACACTTACATTTTCTCAAAATCACTTTAACGTTCTCATAATATCTATTGCACATCACCTAATTTCTCAAAGATTCTGAAAACGGTTCGTTTGAAGATTCACTCTCCAAATCCCTCCTTTCTGAGAGTCTACTCTGCTCTGATTCGTCAGATGGCTCAGTCTGTTGTGATTGGTTTACTCTGCTCTGATTGGTCAGATGGCTCAGTCTGCTGTGATTGGTCTACTCTGCTCTGATTGGTCAGACGGCCCAGTCTGTTGTGATTGCTCTACTCTGCTCTGATTGGTCAGATGTTCCAGTCTGTTGTGATTGGTCTACTCTGCTCTGATTGGTCAGACGGCCCAGTCTGTTGTGATTGCTCTACTCTGCTCTGATTGGTCAGATGTTCCAGTCTGTTGTGATTGGTCTACTCTGCTCTGATTGGTCAGATGGCTCAGTCTGCTGTGATTGGTCTACTCTGCTCTGATTGGTCAGACGGCCCAGTCTGTTGTGATTGGTCTACTCTGCTCTGATTGGTCAGATGGTCCAGTCTGTTGTGATTGGTCTACCCACTTACAGTGCGCTGGTGACGAAATGCCTATTATCATATCTGAATTTCAGCTCTGATGTGATTAGTGATGAATGATGGCATCTTTTTTCCGTACAAATTCCTTTTGAAGTCCGTTCAAAGTGGGTTCACAGTGCTGAAAACAACACAAACCAAACTCTTACAGTCTCAGCTACAACTTTAGTGTTTGAGGGTCAAAGTAGACGCTGTTCACGGGCAGCCAACGAAGACCATAGACTAGCATTATGCAAATGAGTTGCATAGGTTTGTAACAGAGAGAGACTGGAATTACTGACGACTCATTTTAGCAGTTCAGAATCGATTCTTTCTTTTAGGAGACAATAACTTTATTAGTCGTGCACTTTGATCTTTAAAACTTTGGAGACCTTTTACATTCACAAACAGCGTTTTGAACAACATTTGAAAAAAAAACATAATAATAGAGGCACTTTAAAGAATGTTTTTTTTTCTTTGTGCTGCTCTGTGCCTGATCACTACAAAAATATAAGAGAATTTGCTTTTTTCACGAGCATGTTGCATATTTATGCTTGGATGATCCGTCAACTTGCCTGAAGCTGCAATAGTAATGTATTTTCAGACAGATCCCAAATTTTAGTTTTCCACTGTGATTCTTTGAATAGCATTGCACAGGAGGAAGGTTGAGGGATGAAACTGTTACTGACCCCCAAATTCTTTATCTATTCCCCTGTGAGATGGAGGGAAGCGGAGTTTTAAAAGAGCGACTGAGTAAACAGGGAGTAGGAGGGTGAAAAACTGATAAAGCGCATCTGCTCTTTCTCACTCTGACAGGTTTCTTCACTCAAGGAGATGCTTGTAAAAATCACAGTTAATACAGTCGTACTTAAAGGTGAAGTAAGCCAGTGTTTCTCAACTGGTGGGTCGCGGAGTGAACAGTCAAAGAAACAACATCAACAACAAAAAACGTAATTCTAAATGTTTTTCAGATGCGAGACTTTTGATTTTCAAAGACGCGCGTGAAAGTGTAGGCTAGCTACAGAAATTTTGTCAGACGTGTCTGAGAAAAACGTTGTCATTTATCTGCGGAGATGTTGTCAGTGATGTTACGTCTGACACCGACGCTCCGAAGCTTGCTTCTATTGCCCTGTCCCAAATGGAACCCTAAGCACTCGCGGTCTTCCTCTGAGTCCGCACTTTCGCAACGTAACGCCGCTTTGAATGTCGGGAAGACGTCTGCTGTGGAGTCCGCATCAGCGCGGGCTCGGCAAAAGTGCGCATCAAGGGCGCAAATCGACCGCAGAGGGGGCGCTCGCGAGCACCCTTCTGAGATCTAAAAACGACAAATGGGACACACTGCGGTCTCACGGACTTAACGGACACGCGCACGCGGCAGCCACTGTAAGTCCACAAGACCGAAAGTGCACATGAAGTGTGCCATTTGGGACAGGGCCAAACTCGAACGGTCCTTGCAATGAACCACTGCTTCGGAGCTTGTATCATTACGTCATTAGTCACGTGAAAATGACGTCTGAAGCAAACACACTAGGCTTGTTCGACTTCATGCAGCTCTGCGCAGACCGATCGGCGGCAGACTTGAAGCAGTGCATGCCGGTTAGAAATTTTGTCCGACTTGATACAGCGCCGACGCCACGTGACTGTGACGTATGCCATCAAAGTACCGCGAGAGCGATTCGAGAGTAGCCGAAGAACTCAGCCAGCGCAGCTTCTGAAGAGCGGCTGCTCTGGGCTGCACGAGCTCTGATGATGACACAGCTGTTCCACGATTGGCCGGATTCACCGCATGACAACGATCACGTGCGTTTCGTGTTTATTCGGTTTATTCTCACACCTTTAGTTCCACTAAAGCTCACAAATCATTTTTTTTATAACAGTAAACACTCTTTTCATGTAGTCGCGATGTATTGTGTTATGTTTATCAAAATAAAACTGATTAAAAAACGTTGATTCCACTTCATTGATAGTAGCTGTAGGCTTATGTTGAACTTATTCTTGTTCAAACAAACGCTGTATGAAGCAGTACATAAAGTATTGAATGAAAATGTCTCTGAAACATCTGTGTATTTGGCAAATATTGCATTTATTTCACTTCAGCTGTGGTAAAGTATACAAACACCACGTGAGCTGTCACTACGGGAACCAGAAAGTGTCCGACTTCACGTCTCCATTTGCAGCTCCTCCCCGCCTGCACGCGGCTACTCTCGCCGATCAGTTACATCCAGCCACAGCCGATGTCGAACACACCTACTGCTTCACTCCTGTAGTGAACCACCTGACTGCTTTGACAGCCCAATCCAGTGTTGACAGGTTTGAAACCTGGCGGCTGTATTTCTTATAAAAGTGAAGCCAAACCATGGCAACACCGTGTGTTGTAGTAGTCGGTGTTTGGATTGGTGTTATTGTTGAGGAGAGTGGATTGAGTTTATTGTTGAGGAGAGTGGATTGAGTTTATTGTTGAGGAGAGTGGATTGAGTTTATTGTTGAGGAGAGTTTATTGGAGAGTGGCAAAGAAATAATTACACACACACACACACACACACACACACACACACACACACACACACACACACACACACACACACACACACACACACACACACACACACACACACACACACACAATGCTTAATGTTTTATTATCAAGGTGAACACATGAAATTCATCAGTGTCTGGAAACTTCACCTACATAAATGAGTTTCACAGCACTACACTGTTTCAGCTTTGATCGCCTCGGTAAACACGTCATAAACGGGGCGTTAACATAAGCCTACTGGCATTTTATGGTTGTCAGCTTTGTTGCATTACATTTACTTCACCAGGAGATGGTGCTGCAATTTCTATCTGAATGAAGCTTCGAGTAATGAACCATTTTCGACACAATTGTATCGGAAAGCAATAATGCTTCGAAACGCTTCATTTGGCCATCACTAGTTGTCAGGCTATATGTTTGTGTCATTATTCTAACGTTATTTTCGTAGCCTGTTGAGAAATAAAAAGTCTCTCACCTCAGAAAAAACAACTTCCCTGGACAAATTGATTAATTCAGGTGTGCCTGATTATTGTTGCCGTGACTACTGAGGTCAGGCACACTGAATTAATCAATTTGTCCAATAATGGCAGACAGGAAACAAGGAGCTGGCTGAAGTTCAGGAAGTAGTGCAGCTGGGCATAAGTGCTGAAATAAAAATAAAGTACCAATACATCACGTAACTGCTACGTCGTGTGTTGGCTGGAAAGGTTTTGCATGCAGGTATGATGTTCATTCTGTCAGGAGCAGTTTCCATGTTTCTTTAACCGTTCATTGTGTGTATTCAACATGGCAACTGCTGTTTTCACAAGCCCAAAATGCCAATTTATTTTCACGTTGTGTATTTTGTATATTTTTTTTAAATAACTGTGGTGGCTTACCAACTTACCAACCTTATTGTAGCAAAAACTAGTTTGGGACTGCTAATACTGTTTATCCATCAGTGTTAGTCATATTCTTACAATTTAACAAAAATACACTAGTGTGTTTCAACAATTTTTGTGCAAAAGAAATGTTCTTGTTTGTTTTTTAAAAAACAAGTGGGTTGATGACCATGGGAGAATTGGGTCCCATGGCCAAACCAGTTGATAACCACTACAGTAAGAAAAATGCCTACAACATAAACATACACTTTTGTGAATATTTAGATGTTCTGCAGGTGGAGCAATGAAGGGGTGTGTTTATTTGGTTGTCGATTTCATGATTTACTGCACCTAATGTCACATTGATTTGTATAGCTCTTTTCACAATACAAATAGTCTCAATTATCCTCTTCAATTACCCTATTATGTGTCTTTAACAGACATCTGAGGAGTCGACTGCTTATGTGAAGTGACAAACTATTCACACCATGGTGGTCTGCTATTCCTTACAGATCTTTGAATTTATCTCTCGTTCATATGTGTCACATGGGGACTAATTGGTCTGAGTGGCCATTGATCTTTGATCTTAAGGTCTGGTAATTGGAGAGGCAGGTCTGGTAATTGGAGAGGCTGGAAGAATTCAGCCTTTATTTACACACACTGACCCTTACTGACCCATGGGTGCTATGTGACGATAGCTTAAGCTGTTTTCGTCTAGCTAAGGACAGAGAGCATGTGAGATGGACGGTCTGTATCTTACAGAATCTTGTCTGTTCATTTTGTAGTAGCGTTTGAGAGAGAAGTATACGATCTTCTCTTCATGGGTCAAAGTGCAAGATTGCCCTAAAGTCACTATACAACTTTGTGAGAGAACTTTTTTCTCATTATTAAACTCTCGTCCTGAAACACTTCTCATCTGACGTCATCTTCAAACTCCTGACCTGTTCCTGCTAATAATCCTGCACTCAAACTGCTGAGAAATGCCCGAGATTAAGAGATTACTTGGTGAATCAAAGAGAAACAGAGGCCAAACTCCCATAAATCCCTAGGAGAATATCTCTGAATCATGATTAGCTTTTATTCGGAGTCTTTTTTTCCCAGATTATAAAGGACATTCCTTTAGTGTTTGTCTTTCAATATGCTTTTAGCATAAATGACTCTTGTTAAATAGCTCTAACTTCATCTCACTTTGATTTATGCAATGCCCTGTTTTCTACTTTAAATCAACACTGAAGTGTGTAACACTTTACACTAAATTTTGACACGCAATATGTCTTTATAGGACTTATTTTAATTTTTTATTACTTGTATATAAAGCAAGCACTACATTGTTTGGCGCTGAACATTTAAGAGCTTATTTAGATCTACTTTTCATGAACTGTTGGCTGTCCCAAGATATAAATATAAAACTAAAGTTGATGGAGCATTTGCAGTGAAGGCACCATTATGAAATTATCTTCACGTTGATATTAGATCTGCAAAATCTGTGTCTGTTTTGTATAGACCTGCTTTTATTACTTAGTGAAGTTTTTGTTATTGTGTTTTTTGTTTTTTATAGTGTTTTTGGCCCAACGTAGCTATATAAATATTATATAAATGAAGCATTTTTAAAATGATTTAACTTTGTCCACTCCATACTCTGTTCTGAATAAACCGAGAATTAAAGATTTTTTTCTTTAAAATAGATATTATGATTCTCTCACGATTTTGAATAGACAACTAAACAAAACATTCATTTATTTTTTAAATATTTCAAATATAGATATATTTTTAAATTGCCTGATTCAATGACTCGCGTATAAAGAATTTACTTGTTTTACTTCACTTGAATGAATCTCTTGAATGATTCAATATAGTCGCCACCTACTGGTGTAACGATGTAATTGATACAATCTTTATTTGGAAGCTGAAGTTTCAAATTCAAAAAGGGATTTATTGTATTTTGATCGCTTCTGTAGACATCAGTGTTTATCTGAACTATAGTCTTTGATCACAGACTTTTATCACGTGGGTGTTTGAATCGAGATATTTTAACAATTAATTGTGCAGCTCTACTTAATGTTTTATATTTATGAGTAAAGTTTCTTTTTTGTGTTTGTGTGTGTGTGTAAACTTTCTATTTTATTATAATGTTTCTCTTACAAAAATGGTCTTATTTAAATTAAATTAAATAATTGTAATAATTTATAATAATTATTTTAGACAGTTTTCAGGTTGTTTTTTGCCCCTGTGTCTATACGTAATATGTCCTCATCACGTGAAATGAGCAACTTTGAGCTGCGTGTTTACGGTCGTGTCCAAAATCATTTCACACATCCTCCAAAAACAGCCTTTTCATAAACTCTATATATGTGACCCTGGACCACAAAACCAGTCACATGGGTAAAAAAAAAAATTAAATTGAGATTTATGCATATTTTGAAAGTTGATTAAATAAGCGTTCCATTGATGCATGGTTTGTAAGGAGAGTACAATATTTGGCCGAGATACAACTATTTGAAAACCTGGAATCTGAGGGTGCAAAAAAATCGCCTTTAAAGTTGTCCATTTATGTTTGCAATTGTGCTGCATTCACTCACAAAAATAAATGTTTTATATATTTACAGTAAGAAAATGTACAAAATATCTTCATGGAACATGATCTTTACTTAATAGCCTAATGATTTTTGGCATAAAAGAAAAATCGATACAATTTTTATATTATATATATATATATTATTATTTTAATAAGCTTTGTCCGCTTATTTATTTAGACAGTTTTCAGGTTGTTTTTTGCTCCTGCGTCTATACGTAATATGTCCTATATGATCAACTTTGAGCTGCGTTTTTACTCTCATGTCCAAAATCATTTGCCGTCACATCCTTCAAAAACAGCATTATCATAAAGTGTTGTAGTCGAGTCACCAACTGTCGAGTCCGAGTCCGAGTCGAGTCTCGAGTCCCAGTGTTCGAGTCCGAGTCACCAAAGAAGAGTCCGAGTCGAGTCCAAGTCGAGTCACCATTACCTGAGTTCAAGTCCGAGTTGAGTCTCGAGTCCCGTGTTCGAGTCGAAATTATATACACTTAAGCCAAATCAAGCAACATTTTTCAGGCACTCTTTCTTGCAGCTAGAAATGTGAATGATATCACTAGAATTGCCTTTGACCTTAGTTCAAATCATTGTCAACTAGCTGTGGCACGATTATATTTATTTAATTGTTTAAATACATTTTTGGATGATCAGTCAACTGGAATGGATAAAGAAAACAAAAAAGAAACCCTAATTGGACAGAGGAGGAGAAATGGATTCTTCTTGACGAATATGGTAAAAGAAAAACAATTTTGAAAAGCAAACTAAATCCCAATGTAACTGCGGCAAAAACCAGCAAATGCAGTGCTTTAAGCAGTTGTAACTCCGCAGGAAAAGAGTGGTTGCGATGTGTGACATAGTCAAAGTCGCTGTCTAGTTTGTTAGCTAAAATAAACATAGGCTAATTGTGTTATCGTATGATAAGCGGGATTAAGCGCTGAGCGCGTTCGACTTTGGCTCAGCGCTCCTTTGTGGTCAGCTCAGCTGCTGCAAAGCGTGCCAAAATCGAAATTGCTGATTAGATGTAGAGGAACTTATCTAGTGTTAAATGAGTGTTACGTTATCTCTCTCACGAGAATGCAGCGTAAAGTGAGTGACGTTTGATGAATGCTCAAGTCCGATTTTATATATGTCCGAGTCCAAGTCCGCGAGTCCAAGTCGAGTCACGAGTCCAGAGAATGGAGTCTCGAGTCGGACTCGAGTCCAGAGAATAAGGACTCGAGCCGGACTCGAATCCGAGTCCAGGACTCGAGTACTCCATCACTGGTACATGGTATATTATTTTGATATTTTGAGCAGTTTTTTTGAATGCACTCCTCCCAACTCTTACCGTTGAATGACAGAGAAAGCCGAACACCACCATGACAATAGCAGGAGTGAGGATGAGCCCGAAGACACAGCCAGCCAGGCAGGCGTTGATGGCGGCGATCAGCAGGTTCTGCGCGGTCACCAGCACTGAACAAGCCCAGCAGTCCAGAGACCCCCGCAGCTCCAGCGGACCCTCCGCAGCCGAGTACGGCGGCGGCACGACCACGCCAGACCCCCCCACCGGGGTCCCGGCGGGCACAGTCGAGGCCAGGGAGTTAGTGTGCTGGAAACTGGGGTGATGGTGATGGTGGTGATGGGTGTTGGTTGGGAGCTCTTCGGAGAGGTCGAGGGCCTGGTGATGAGCCCCCTTCTCCAGTGTGCCATTCATGCTCATCCTGATCTGAGGACGATAGAGAATCAAAGACTTTACAAAAGTAAAATAAACTGTAAAGCCGTGATTTACAGTGAGTTTAGAATAGCTAAGGAGGAGTTAAAACCCCCTTAGTTGTTCTAAAGTTGTAAAACACGGCTTCACGGGGCTTATTGCTTTTATAAAACGGTTACAAACGGTTATTTTATTCATTAAATAAACACCAGCAACAAAAAATATAACGGTAAAACACATTTATTCCTCCGCCAAGCAACGTAGTTCCATTTACTTACTAAAATTTAGCTAACCCGTTGCTTTAAAATTTTTAAGTGAACTGAACACTTAAATTAGAACATTATAATTAAACAAATTACACTGTAAAAAGTGAATATGGGTGTAAGTTGGATTACTAGAACTATTTGAGTCTATGTACTTCGTATTTCTGCTTTCCTAATCGTAATTGATTATTGTACACTCATTCAACTTGAACGCATAGAAATTCACTGACACTCAAATATCTCACTTTCACCCAAAGTATAATTTCCCTTTAAGGCCACCTGCGTCAGACGTTTTTTTTCTGACGTCATGACGCACGAGCCTGTCTGGAACTTCTGCTCAACCGCCATTTTCTTTTTCTCTCGCACTCGGATGAATAAGGTAGGTTGGAAGTTTGTTTTAATTAATATACTCGAATATGCAACTTTTGGACGTGTGTATTAGTTGTTTATGAGTTAATTAATGTTGTTTGTGAACATGAATACTAACGAAATCGTAATTAACCGAATTTTTGAACGTTCGTTTGCGAAATAGCGTTACTGAATAATGTTCAGCTTAGATTCTCTGCCCGAGCCCGAACTTGTCGAGTCGGGCCGATATTTCCCGTCACTATCCTCGAGCCGGGCCCTTGATCTAGAGACGTGCACTCCCAACGAGTGCGGCGCGGGACTAAATTTGATGGCCGGGCGCGGGCGGTAATGCACTCACTCTGTGTGCGAGTTGTGGTAGAATAAAACGAAACTAGAAATATTTATGAATAAAACATATAAAAACGAATACATTTTTATTTATGTTTCATCCGCCTAGCTCGAGGTGTTTCATCCAGGAAAAAATATCAGGGGTTTCCATAGTAAAAAAATGTTTGTTTTTTTGTAGAAATAGTTGTATTTTCAAAACTAATTAATTACTTGGCCTGTAGCAAATCATTTTCTACCACTTAAGTTAAATACTACAACATTTTTCTCCCCTTAGGACCGAAAGCTTTTTTCATGTTTGACAACTGAGGACGACGATTGCTATAACGTTACATGGTAAGTAATTCTATTAATTTAAGTAATGCAGAAATTCTTCAAATTTTGGATCAGGTACGTCTTGTGTGTTTTACATTAATATCAACTAAACAATCTTATTTTAGTCACAGTATGTTCAACAGTAACATTTAATTGTTAGCCTAAATACTTGTTTTATAGCTTTGAAATTGTCATAACCACCCAATCAAAATGGACAATTTAAAAGTGATGGTCCACTCATAAAATAAAAAAATGCTGTTAATTTACTCACCCTCAGGCCATCCAAGATGTAGGTGACTTTTTTCTTCAGTAGAACAGTAAAGAAGTTTTTTTTTTTTAGCTGAAACTGTGGTCCATGGTGATTAATATATAATGCAAGTCAAAAAGCGTCACAAAAAAAAAAACATACAGGCAAAACAAAATTAATACCTGTGGGTCCTGACGATTCATTGAGGTTTAAGGTTCACTGAAGCGAAACGATCGTTCTATGGAAAAAACTGAACATTATTTACAACATTATTTCTTGTGATTACCTGTGAACAGCCTCAGCAAACAGCCCTGAGTGCGTTCATGGCAATGTTGCATGTTAATGTTCTTGTTTTTTGCACAGACTGATTGTTTCAGTTCCTAAGACCTCGATGTATTGTCTGGAGCCACGTGTACATTTTTTTTTTACTCTCAAAAGAGACGGTAGCCATTCACTTGCATTATATGAACCACAGAGGACTACGGTTTCAGTTAAAAAAGTGATATACTAAAGAAAACAATATTCTATTTTTAACGGTAACGTAGACATCAGTGTTTTTTTGTATATCTGAATAATGATTTTGTATACTTCTGTGATGTACTTTGGCCAGTCATTAATACAAACTTTTATAGTTTTGTGAATGTTTATATTGTCTTGTCCTTTGCCATCCTCGGCGAAATCTGATTCTCTATTACAGATTACTCAGAATTTTAAAAATAAGAAAAATATTCACAATTGCTTTTTCACAGACTGAAAACATTCACACAAAAAAGAGTGTCCTGAAGGCCCTCATCGTTTTCCTGGGGGGAAATCCTCAAGACCTCATCAAGGAGTACTTTGTGAGTTGAAATTCCGCATATTCTATTTTGATTTTATTTTTCAGAAAGTTTAAATTTGTGTTTTGTAGTTTTGAACGCAAAATGTTTTTTTTTTAATGCACACTACTTTAGGAGAACCAGCGAGATGATTGCGAGGGTGAGCTGGAGCACCTCACCATGGCGGTGTATGTTATTTGGAAGGAGGGGGGAGAACATCACGAACCACCGGCTGATATAGGTGTCGTCATCGAGGGTGTTAAAGTTTTGAATGAACTACCTTTGTTCACAGCAGCTTGTGCCTTGCTTCTCGGGATGATATACATCATCAATCTGGCTTACCCAAAACCACTTCGTTTTACATGAGGTATTCCAGAAAGTTCTCTTGCAGCTTGATGTCACCAAAAGTTCAAAGTCTTTTCAGTAGACTACAGTGAACTTGCTGTAATGTTTGAATGTGCATATGTCTAGTCTGTGTTTGAAAGAATGTCTCCGTTTTAGTTGGATGTTTCATTTGTTTTCTTATGTTTGTAGACTATCCATTTGTTCATTCATATGTCTAGTATGAATGTGTAGTTGTATGTTCGAATCTGTAGTTGATTGGTTCACTTTAAATTTAGGGCATTACCTGTAAGGTGTTCTAAAGCACTTATCATACACTTATGGTTCTAATTTAAGAATATATTAAAGGGATAGTTTACCTAAAAATGGTTCAAGTTGTTCCAAACCTGCATGAGTTTCTTTCTTCTGCTGAACACAAAAGAAGATGTGTTGAAGAATGTTGGTAACCAGACAGTTGACGGTACCCATTGACTTCCAGTATTTTTTTTTTTCTGCTATGGAAGTCAATGGGTGCCGTCAACTGTCTGGTTACCAACATTCTTCAACACATCATCTTTTGTGTTCAGCAGAAGAAAGAAACTCATGCAGGTTTGGAACAACTTGAGCCATTTTTGGGTGAACTATCCCTTTAATTGTTTTTTGGGCATAGGGCATAACCACTATGTTTTTATATTTATTTTTATAAATGTATTAGTGGCTCAGTTTTGAGCATAATGCTGTGCAAAGACAGCTTTGCAAAAAGACTGTTAATGGAATGGATGTTAAGTGTGTCAGTAAATTAAATTCCATTGGCACAACAAATATGAACAGTTTGTAATGATTTCTCAAAGTTTGTAATATGAAAAATACTGATGGCGTATGAAATGAATTAATGTTAATAAATATTTATGAAGCAATTTGAGTCTTGTGTGATTGACCTGGTGAAATTAAGTTGAGAAAATATAATAATTTAAGTTGATAAAACTTATTTTTTTTAGGTGTTACCAATTGAAGTATTTTTTTAAAGTTGATCCAACTGTAGGAAAACTTAATACATTTAAGTTGGAATGCAGTGAAATTAAGTCAGACCAATGTAAATAATAGGATTGAATGAACTCAAATAATTTAAGTGTGATTGACCTAGTGAAATGAAGTTGATAAAACGTGATAATTTAAGTTGAGAAAACTTAATTTTTTTAGGTGTTACCAATTGAAGTAATTTTTTTAGGTTGATCCAACTGTTCACTTTTTACAGTGTAGTTCAATCAAATTAACTTTTGTGAGTATTTAGAACTTTCTTTTTCTTTTGAGTTCTTAAAACTGACACATTTTAAGTGATCTGAATTGTGTTTTTGAGTTTTATGAACTTGTTTCTTTTAATTTAGATCGAACTGAATCTGGGCTGGGATTTTTTTATTTTCCAGCATGCTTTGCCATGACGCTCAAAAGTGAGAGTAAATGCTAAAATGAAGTGCTATATAATGTTTTTGGTGCAAGATTAATGTTAAGTGGGAGATTTAGTAGTGTTGAATGTTTTGTTATGCTAGTTTAGAAGAGTTTCTGTCATGTTGGTTTTTTGTAGGGTTATCATGGCATGAGCTTAGTTTGAGAACATTTATATATTAAATGTTGAATGAGTACATGAAACAAGTGCTATGCTGCTATCAAGGAATTGTTACCAATTAGCAAATTAGCATTTATTGAATTAGCTGGTTAAAGCTATAAGTTTCCTCTACTAAAAATATTTCAGTTAAGGTTACAACATGATAATTTTAAGTTAAATGTATGAATTAGTGATTTACTGTGAATGAAGTGTATGAATTACTCAAATATTTCAAGTTAGGAGCATTTAAAATGAGAACAAAATAAAAAACAAGTTGTGCGTACTTAAACTTTAAATTTCTTAACTTAAAAAATTGCGTGTAGTCTAACTGATTACCTCAAATTTTTTGAGCTTTGCCAACTTATTCGGGTTTACAGTTAATTAACCTGGCATTGTGTTCTATAACGAATGTTGGCTCTTTGATGAAAGCTTTGTTCTTCTTTTGTAAGTCACTTTGGATAAAAGCGTCTGCTAATCATAGTTTCGCCAATCATAATTATATATTTGGGTCTTTAGCGACCCGGATCTACAGTAGTCAACATTTGAAGTGAATCAAAACCTTTCATCAAAGCTATACATGAATTTTTAACAATACCCGTTCTTGTCTTAGGACAACTTTGATAAACTTTTTTGATCCACTTCAAATTTTGACTACTGTATATCTAACATGGAAAACTCTGCTGATATTCTAATAAAAGTTACAAAATAATAAAATAAAGCATTATTCGTTCCCTTTTAGAACTTGAAAGGGTTCAATTTGAGCAGATGTTTTTATCATCATCAGAGCTCATTCACATCTGGCTTGTATTGGCTCGTGATTGTGATTTGTGTTCGCCAACAACAGCGGCTGCAGGAAACGGTTATTTCAATTGTTTGGAAATCTAAAAAAGCTTGTTACTTTGGTGGATGCGTTCATAGGTGACTTTGACATCTGTTTACTAAAGTTCAGAGTCAGGTTAAATCACTTATCGCCAGGAAACTAGGGTTGTATGATCCTTTAATTAGGTCTTTAATCAGAGACTGATTGTTATCTGAAAGCCAATTGGCCCTTTGTGCCGGAAACTAATTGGTATTTCAGTGTGTTTGGAACAACACCGGCGATATGATAAAGTGATTAAGAGTGAGAAGCCTTGACATCGCAGTAACACAACTCTTTTATCATGTATATGGGTATGTATGATGTCACCCCAAATAAAAAAATTATAATAATTTTCATAATGAAGCACCCCAATCACTGTTTCACTTTTAGTTTTTGTATAATTTATTTATTCTAAATTTGTCAAACAGTAATGAGATCCATCCTCTCAGGACACAATAAAATCAGCATTAATTGCGGGTGGTCCAACAAATGCTACTATGATGTAAAAATTGTTTTAGTTAGTAATGAGAATGAGATTTTGTCAGAGTACAGAAAGAGAAAATGTCACAATGCTAAAATCCTTATGATCCTCAAGAGGCTTAATTTTGTTGTTTTTTAGTTTTCTAAATTTTAAGTAAGTCAAAATCTATAAACGTCATATAAATTGCAGTTCAGAAAATGTCACTTTTATTGTCATAATTTCTTCCAAAAATTGTCTTGCATCTCATGACACTCTAACAATCAAAACCATAAAGATACAATATAGCACAATCACCAAAATAATAATACTAATAATAATAAAGATGCAGAACTGGCTGACAGGGCATCATCGAAATATACCTTTCACACCAGAACTCTGAGGCCTGGAACCCCAACTCTGATTTAATCATTTTACAGGCTGTTATATATATATACATATACAGCTGTGGAGAGACCCCCCCCCCCCCCCCCCCCTCCCTCCAGAACAATAGACCGAGGTCAAACTACATAAATACTTTACACGCCAGACAGCTGTGGCCTCAATGCCATATAGTCATCTAAATATGGATACAGGATGGTCTCCGACTCTCTCTCCCTCTCTCACACACACATACACTCTCATCCTTAAACACTAGATCCTGAATATGCCATCGCTGATGCATGATGAGGGTGACATGCACACGTTTGTGCGCTTGCTGACCGTTGTGTTGTCTTCCTGCCTTTGTGTTCTGTTTGTTAGCGCCTAATGTATGGCATGTGACTCAGCATATAACAAACACTCAATCACCCCTCACAGGAAGCCTGAACACAAGCGCACACCATGCCAAACCTGGAGAACACACACTGCTCCACCCGCTAACACGGTTTCCACTTTTCTGGGAATCACACAATTGAGAATTAATCTGGAGCAAATACTACTTAGAAGCAACCATATTTATGCATGTATAAAGAAGAAATGAGCTACTATATAGCAACTTAAAAATCTTTATAGGTGGAATTGTTTTTACTTTGCTATTTATATTAGGTTTGATGTGATCTTATACTGATTCCTTAAATTTTTTGATCAATGCCTGCTTCTACTTGATTATTTGAATCGATTAATCCATATACAGTATAACTTCACTGGTAAATACATAGTTCATTCATGAAACTAATGCCATGGAATTAGCCAACCAGATATACTTCAATATATATTCGCAACTTAACTGGCGAGATTATGAAAAAGTCTGTGTGTACCCCTCCTCCTCCCCAGCACCACCTGTAGACATCTGCTATGTGTTTTTTAAATATATTTTTTGCAGCAGCATGTCCTTTATGTATGTTATTTAACAAATTCTTGTCTTTGCTCAGCAGTGGCGTAGCAGATCTCGTCCGCCAAAATCAATGTACTTTCCATGCCCAACGCCAATAAATGCTTGTTAAATAATTCACTTCGAGAGTTATCATGATTAAAACAGTCTTTAAATGAAAGGTAGCAGCACTTGCAACACTCCACACTAGAAGTGCACATGCATAGTTGTCTCTGATCTAACAGTTATGTGAATTAATATGTTAAATAAGCAATCAAACAGATACGTGAATTCCAAGCATTCCCCCGCTGTGGCCTCTGATAGGTCAGTCTCACACACACCTTATCAAGCCCTCTGCACCCCCACTCACCCGATGCTGAGAGTCCAGTAGTCCTCTTCTTCTCGTTGCCTTTGTCTAACTCAACATGCACTCTTTGTTCTTTTTTGGAATTCCTTGTTCAAAAAGTTCTAGAATCTCTAAAATTCTAAAAACGTTTTTCCTTGCTGTGCTAGACTGACCCTTGCTCTCATTTGGCGTGCTCTCTGAAGTGTAGCTGTGTGTGAGTCCACTCGCTCTCTGTTAGTGAGGCAGACTGAGATATGGATGTATCCTGCCTGGGAGTTATAGCAGTGCCTTTCTCTGTGCCTCCCTCATGCCCCCTCCCCCTTTTCCTTACCCTTCTCTTCTCCTCTCACTCCCTTTCTTTACTTTTTGTATGGGGGAAGGAATGTTTATTTAAAGAGCCAAAGTGAAGACTTTAATTACTGCTGATGGATAGAGAGGACATGAAACCACCTCACATTTACACCACATCTTCCACACCTCCTTTCTCCTCTGCTCGAAGCATAAACTGCTCTGACCACACGGTGCCAAGTGTTGTTTTTCCTGTAATCTTGTGGTGGTTTGGTTGATATTGCCCAAGTGATCTGTGCATAAACTCATGTTATCCATCATCCTCCACCCATAATGCACTTGTTATGCAACAATCAGTCTTTTAGGGGACATTTCAGGGATAAAATAATAAAATAATGTAACGGTTTGCATACATTATTTTGTGTACTTCGAATGAAATTACGTTCCACTAACAAACTACATTGACTTAGAGGAACTTAATTCGTAGCATGAATGGACACACATTTTTAAGTTGATTAGTCGAAAAAAATAAAGGGTACGTTTTTGTATTTTTCCATGCAGCTGGTATAGCACATGCTTAATGTGACTTGTTTAGCATGTATATTTTATGAACAAGAGATTAGTTGTCACTGGCATTAGCTCAGTCGTCATGTATTTGCTCTTGAGCACAATGGTAGCCACAAAAACCTCAACATTACAGAAACTCTTTTAAATGTCAAACATAACAGCATTAAACCCTAACAGGTCTTTTCTTTCACTAAAAAACAAATAAAATAACACTTACTTTTAACATTTAATCTCCTGATCCAGTCATATGGAAAGCATGCTGGGAACTAGAATTGCACTGCCCAATTACAAGACAAGTTACTACAACTAATTTTTTAACAAAAATCAACAATTTGAGATTTTGCGTTTAAATTACCTACAATATTAAGTTAATGATCAACATTATTACGTCAACAGAACACAAAATAATGTTCACAACTCCAAAACGGCCCATATACATAAAACACTGGCTTGTTCATCATAACGTTAACATTTTATGACATTTAATATATAGGTTTTGCTATTCGAAATTTAAAAGAATTTTGGACCTCCAGTCTTAAATCATTTCTGCCTCAATTCTCTCTCCTCTTTGGCCAAAAGTGATGTTCGGAGGGGATATTTGACTTTATTACCCTACAAGTTTGATTAAAATATGAGACAAATATTTTATATTTTAAATACTGTTCTTTTTAAAATGATACACCTGGTTAAGGTTTTATTTATCTGACAAAATTATTTGGCCAAAAATTACTTTTAAAAAAATGCATCAAATTACTTAAAAAAAAATGCTTAGAAAAACAAAAAGCTCCAAGGAAAAAGCTCAACATAATCAGTTATTAATATTTCGTGGGTTTTCTCTTGTTTTTGCATGTTTATAATTTCTTTGTATGACAGCCTGGCCAGAACTAAGTCCGCACAATTTGCCATGTTTCATTGCGCTATCATAAATAAAATGATTGACTCCAAGCACAACTATGCAATATGCTATAAAATCCTTTTTAATAATAAAAACTATTTTTTAATAATGTTTGAATATGCCAATTTTCCAAGGCTCCTGTTTATCAATTTCGGCCACTATTGCAGAACAATATGTATATTTAAAAAATATTTTATATTGTGAAATGTACAATTATTTTATTAATGCTATAAGAGTAAATCAAGGTTGCGATCATGATGTGGAATTAGACTGATAGTCTGATATAAATAATGTGGTCAGATACACTGAAAAGTCACACTGAAAAAAAAAACGGATTTATTTTAAAATATGAAAATGAATTGAAAGATTGATTTAAATTTTTTATTTTTTTTTGCTGATCAGCTTATCATAAAAGAGTAAATAATTTCGGCAACATTTAAGAGCAAGAGCAGCTTTCCAGTTCACTGCCCTCATCCAGACCAAGGATATCTTCAAAGGTTAACATGTTTAAAGTTGAAGAGTTGACGCGAGTGAGGCTGATCAGATTGCAGTTTTTGTCCACATGGGAAAAGAACAGAAAGGATCACAAACAACTGATGGCAAGGACAGATCTGAGAGAAGGATGGAGTGGAGCAGCTCCTTCATGATGAAAAGAATATCAGTGGGAGTGGTTGCACAGGAGGAATAGTGTAAATGCTGGCTTGCGTAACTGATAAGAGCCCATCACACACACACACACACACACACACACACACACACACACACACACACACACACACACACACACACCAGATCAATTAATGTTTCCCACTGCTTTGTACAGCCCATGTTTACTGTTTCTGCACCCCTGACCTCACGCAAGAGAAGATAAAACCTGCGCAAATATGCAATGCTTAGAAGCACTGACCCAGAAGAAGAGTGAAATTATTTTTGATGCTAAAAGTGTGATTGAGATTGACTGTAATCAGTCTGAAGATTTCCTAAACGCTGTTGTGCAAAAAATATAACTTTGTCAAGGTTTGCTGCAAATAGTTGTAACCACTGCATTTTTCTTTTAAGGCTAAACATGTTTTTGAGTGATTTGCTTACAGCAGCCTCTGGTTTGTGGCCAGCGAAATTTTGAGTTCACTACAGCGCCTTGACTTTACTTTGCATTCATTTAACAAGCTTTGCATTTGCATTTTGGCTTTCTGAATGGCGAAATCTGAGCAATGTGTTAAAGGAGGGGTGGAAAGAGCTTCCTGTTCTCACAGGAAGTAGGACATCCGCAGGCCAGCGCAACGTTAAGCTCTGCATGAGCCCGATGCCCTTTTCCAAATCCAGTTTTGTTGGTGTTGATGCGGCAAAGTCAGTCAGTTTGGATACGTGTCTGCTTACATATTTGGAGTATTATGATGAAAATGCCTTTCTGCAATAACTGACCATGAATTGAACTGTTTGAGAATAAAAGTTGGCAGTTGAGAGACGAACTCCTGGTGGTTGATGCTTGAGTTTGCATCGCTGTTGTAAACGGCTGGATGTATCTGACCATCATTTCAACTCTCCCAGCCCACGTGTGTGTGTGTGTGTGTGTGTGTGTGTGTGTGTTATATGAATCTCAGTTTACACAGATAAATTGAAAGCTACTGCGTGAAGTGGGGAATCTTGTGCCAAAAATGCATCAAAGTTTTGCGATAGGGCATGTTACTGAAAGCTGATCACAGAAGTAAACAAGCTCTGGTTCCTCGACTTGCGTCAGCAAAGAACAGGAAGGAACTTTGATAGGGACGAACCTGACGCAAAAACATAAACAAGGTAAATGTTCGCCTACAGATGCCTGCTATGGGCTGATGAAATTGCGGTATGATGACGAGCATTAGGCTATATTAATCATGTGTAGGAATGTTTAATGCAAAAATTATAAATTATAAATTAACTCGACAAATAATATAAGATTTTTTTTAAAGGTACACTATGTAACTTTGTTACAAATTAACATTTAAAATAGTCCATACATCAATTCTTCTTAAAAAACGTTGTTTTCTCACTCTGATTCACTATGGTAAGCCTATTATAAGTGTAATATTTTAGACATGTCGGGATGGTTTTCGAGGGAAATTGCGTACATGCGTCACTCGCCCGTGCGTCGTGTCTGATCCGTAAATGGAGAAATGTTGCTCCGGCTACTTTGACGTGTGTCTGGTGAGGATAGTTTCACAACGAGTGAGAAAGGTTGACATGGAGCAGCTAAATCTCCAACCTCTGGGGAACCACCTGCAAAAACAAAAAACAAAACAAAACGATGCCGTACAGAGAGTCTGGTGACAAATGCAGCAGGATGTACGTGACGTTTCACACCTTTTTATCTAACAATTGCGAGTTTACATCTTGGAATTCTGACTTTATATCTCAGAATTGCGTGATATAAAGTCGCAATTGTGTGTTATAGTCAGAATTGCGAGAAATAAACTTGCAATTCTGACTTTTTTTCTCTCACAATTCAGACTTAATATCATGCAATTCTGACTTAACACACAATTGCGACTTTATATCACGCAATTCTGAAAAAAAAAAAAAAGTCAGAATTGTGAGATAAAGTCGTAAATACCTTTTTTATTTTGTGGCGGAAACAAGCTTCCATAGTTAATAGGTACAGCTACAGTAAAGTCTTCAGCTAGTCATGTTGATATGTCCATCTAAACTGTTTATATAGAAGCATAGTAGTGGATGAGCAGTAGGATAATCTCTCTCTTTTAGTAATGAGAAAGAATGATTTCCATTACACGAGAGTAGATGTTAAAACTTCATGCTGATTTGTACTCGGCTTTCGCCAAGATAAGCAACACTAAGACGTAGCTTTACAGTAAACTATGCTTCTCCATCCATTTACGGTTCTTTCCACGTGGTGGTGTGACTCCCCTTCTGTCCGGCGTTAACGGCTGCAGTGTACTTGGCGCGTCAGCGCACGCGACGGCTGCAACTACAGGACCAGCACGACAACCGTCTGGATTGAACCGAGTAGGGGACATCTCTAGGGTCTTCAAGTGGGCACCTTCCGTCCTCAGTGTTTCGTCGACTAGCCCACGACACCTCAAGAGGGCTCGACAGTGACTCTGGCGTCCCAGAGTCACCCCCCTCCGTCCCCCACTCAACTCAGTCCAGCTTACTGACCTCTACATCCCTCCTGCTGTTGAGACCTAACCACAATCTCACAATCTCTCCGCAACCCAACCATACGCGCCAACCCGTTTGACTAAGGCTGTCGAGCCCCACCGGTGCGTTAATATGCAGTTTCAGTGGACAACGGTTCCGTATGGCATACCACCTACCGCAAAACACAATATCTGCCCAACCACCCGTCATTCACGCAATATACACAGGAACGTAATGACTGTAAATACTATACAACCTATCCAAATAAATCAAGACTCTTCAAGTTTTCAACAATTCTACGAAACCGTAGCATGGTAGCATGTACACAGCTAGCTAAAATCTTTCCGTCTCAACCACAGCCAGTTGCTGCTCCTTTCTGCTGCTTCAGATAAGTTTTTTACTGTGCAACGCAACTCTTGGCCGCTGAATCCGATGTCTCTGAGGGACCGGGTTGTAGAGTGTGCCACAAAACCTCGACAACCCACTTCCACTGGATAAACCTGGACTCTCCATCCTCGCTGTTCTGCTTCAGTGGCCACATGAGCATACCGCAGTTTCTTCCTCTCATATGCCTCATCTACCGTATCCTCCCATGGCACTGTTAACTCTATCAGTTGAACAATGCGTGCTGATCCGGACCACAAAACAATATCTGGTCGTAGGTTAGTGGTGGCAATCTCAGGTGGAAAAATAAGCCGTTGATCAAGATCAGCCAGCAGCTTCCAGTCCCTAGCAGCTTCCAGTTGTCCTGGGCGAGAATTGGTGTTAACACCTTTTCTTGGTGGTTGCTCGCCTGGGCGGAGGAATATTGTCTTCTGCGTGTAATGTTTTGCTGGAACAGGCGGCAACTTATTGGTCATACTACGCTTGCCTTCTAATGCTAAAGCCAAACATCGCAGTACTTGGTCATGGCACCAAGTAAACCGACCTTGGCTAAGAGCCACCTTACATCCTGTCAAAATATGCCTTAATGTGGCAGGTGATGAACACAAAGGACAAGACGGATCCTCTCCTACCCAGAGGTTTAGGTTCTGCGGTGATGGGAGAACATCATATGTTGACCTAATAAGGAAACTGATCCTACTCTCTTCCATTGACCAAAGGTCTTGCCAGCCCATCTTACGTTGTTCCACACTCTCCCATCTCATCCACTCTCCCTGCTTGGCCTGTGAAATGGCCTTTATACACCTCATCCTCTCCTCCTGCTGTCGCACCTCGTTGACTACCAGCTTCCTCCTTTGCGCTGGGCCTGCCTTGTGCCATTTAGGAGGAGCTAAACTGAGCCCAAAACCCCCTCTTCCATTCTGTACCTGTCCCACGATATCCCCAATTTGAAGGTCAGCCTTTGCCTCTACTACAGATTTCTTTGCTGACCACTTTCTACCAGTTTTTAACACATTTGTCGCGTGACTCTACTAAAGTCATTTCCAGCCTGACCTTGGCACACTTAAACTCCTCGGTTAAAGCAGAGACTGGCAGCTGCAATATTCCTTTACTATAAAGTCCCACTCTGCTGAGGGAGCGTGGAACTCCCAACCATTTCCTGATGTATGAACTTCATATATATTCAATATATTCAAACAGTCACGCAGAGCTGAGTCACAACAAAAGCATCGTTCCTACGCATACAGATTTTTTTGAACTGCTACAAGGCCAAAAGTTGCATAGTGTATCTTTAAATCATCATGGCTTTGTTTAGATCTCTTAATATTATTGATACCTCTTTAAGTAATATTTTGATATGGCATGTCTTTGTTTTTGTGTCTTAAAGATCTTCCTTCTACAGATGTAATTGCTGTGCTTCATTTGTTTGTGGCTGAAATGTTAATTAGATATATAATAAATGTTTTTGAAACCTTACACTTCCAATGAATGAATACAGAGACATGGCACAGATCAAAGTTTATCAAAAGCATTTAATATTATTCAGAGTAATCATATCAATGACACACGAATTCACAAAGTGTTTAAGACATGTCTGGCTCAGTTCGCTTCGTGTGTGAATTCCAAAACAGTGCAGATTTTAAATAACCACAAAAATAAAATAATAATGAGGAAAAAAAAAAAGGAAAGTGTGTATATTGCAACAGGAAAAATATTTCTTAAAAAAATTGAGAGTAGCTCAAGAAGAACTCAGCACCATCTATTTCATAATCAAAACCATTTTCCTGATAATACATGAATCATTTCACACTAACGCCTCTAAAGCTGTAAAAAATTACAGTATATATTTTAAAACAATGCGTTAAATCCCCTTTCACACTGTTACTCGTTCCAGTAAAATGCCACAATTTACAGTTCAATGTGATTTTTCTCCATATAAGCATTAGTTCAGGCGTATGAAAACCCACTGCAGCCAATAACTGTATAGCATGTATATTGAAAGTTATGCCTGCTGTAGTCAGCGTGGCAAACGTGTCCTCAAATGAATAGCATTTACAACAGGACAGAAGCACCACTAAATGTGTAAGATAGGTATCAGAAACTGTTCTTAGCCCAAATTCGTGAATCACCGGAATTCATCACAAAGTAGCTGCTAATCTAGGCTCAGGATTACTGACATCAGTCCAAGTCACCATCTTAGTACAAAAACAAGCAAAAAGATTCAGCGAGCACAGGTCTAATCTGAGAACTCATATGAACATGGCCCCTGGATTTAATCTTTTTTTTTATTTTTTAAATAAACATTTAAACTGGATAGTGAGCAGGTGTTCAAATATATAAGAGTGATCACATTTAAGTCATGTTGTTGCAAACTTAGGTGGGAAAAAAACGTGTTGTAAAAACATTTGTGAATAACAGACAACTTCTGATTAGTCAAATCCTACCCTCTGTGCTCTACAATCTAAAAGGACAAGGAGTCAGTTATGAGAGATTTAATTCATATAAACAGGAAAGACATTTAAAGGGGTAAGCACCAAGATTAAAAAAAATAAAGAAAATCAGCACCCTTAAAATATTACAGAGGACTTAGAATAACAATAGAAACCCTTAATACATCTATGATAACCATGTTGAGGCAGGGAGAGCATTTTATATCCAATAAATAGAAGAACATTTTAAATAAAAAAAATTTACAATAAAAAAAAAGAAAACCCAAAGAGAATAGATCTGTATAGAGGAGAGAAACAATTCACTGACCAAAACAGATGAAACTGAACAAGAATAACCATAAAATGCAGGAAAAGAGATTGATTAAAAATGCAATCCTTAAATGCTTGTCCTGATGATATAAACACAACGTTCCATACTAAAACTGAAAAAGTATTTTAAAACCCGTATGTTTTGAAGCATTCTGAACAACTATTTCTTTTTAATTCTTAATGCTTTAGAAAAATGTCCATAGCTCTATTATTAGTATTATTAATTTTTATCTCTTCACTAAATACAAGTCACAAGGCCAATGTGGTATATATCTAGGCTGTTCTAGGTTTAAAAATAATAAATTATTGGAGAAAAATAAGCACCCACGAAAAGTACAAAGAGCAGTTAGACATTTCAGTATTCAAGACAAAAAACAAACAAAAAAGCAACATGAAAGAAAACTAAGAACAAAAACCTAAACTGACAGGATCTTGTCAAATCCGCTGTTGTAAGCCGTGACAGCACCAAACTGCGGTTCATCGGACGTCCCGCAGAGCCATTCAGAGGTTGATACACAAAGACCGACAGGAGCAAACTGGAGTCTTATTGGCTGATTGGTTCTGTAAACAATTCTGAGTAAACTGGTTCTGGATTGGCTGTTCAACAAATATTAACAGTAGTAGGTAAATTTTTTTTCCCAACTGTAAATGTTTTAAGTCTTAATTGGACTAAAATAAAAGATCTTGTCCTGCGAGCAGGAGTTTTGGTTATGGCTGTGTGAGGGAAAGTGATGAGACGTTCTCATCGGGAGCTGGGACTGATGGCCTGAGAAAGACAAAGACAAACAAATGATAGATGTTAGCTCTTTCTGAAGCTTTGTTCAACTGCACGCGTTGTCAAAGTGCACGAACACCAACTCACCAGGGTGAATGAGTCGTACACGTTCATCAGCTCCTCCATGCGGTATTGCTCCAGCACCACTACATTGGAGAGGTTTGGGCTTCGTTGTCGTGCACAGTCCTCACAGTGCACCACATACGTCTTCCGACTGCCGTTCTCGCTGGTCACAAACAGCAGATTAAACACCTCCACCTGCTCAGGAACATAAAGACAAACCATAAACTCTTAAAGGGCGCCTATTATGTCATTTACAGGTTCATAATTAAATCATGGTAGACAAAATTATTTTTCTTAGGGTACGTTTACAAGATAAAATACATCTCTCTATTAGTGTAACTGGATCTTAGTGCTGCATTCGATACCATCGACCACAACATTCTTTTGAATAGACTCGAAACTTATGTTGGCATTAGTGGGATTGCATTGGCATGGTTCAAATCATACTTCTGACCGTTACCAATTTGTAGCAGTAAATGAAGAAGTATATCGATCACAAGTTCAGTATGGTGTACCGCAAGGCTCAGTACTAGGACCGTTGTTTTTCACTCTGTACATGCTACACTTGGGAGATCTCATTAGGTTAGTCTTCTCTGTTACGCTGATGATACTCAGCTTTCTTTGTGCCCTGACGAAACTACTATTCATTCTGCTAATTTTGTGAATTGGTCTAAAAATAATTGGATGACAAAGTATTTCCCTACTACTTAAAGCTGCAGTCCATAATTTTTTCTGTATTCAAAATTTACAAAATTGATATAATAAGCGAGTACATTATGAATTAATTTTCCAAACCCAAGTTTTTGTCTGAATCACTACAGTACGCCTATAATAAGTGTTTATATTCAGACTATTTTAGACTGGTACGGGTCGTACCACTGCGGAATAACTCAGTGACTCGTCATAGACATAAAACGAGAGAAGTAGCTCTGGATACAATAGTCTTCCGCAAGATGCATGCAGTTCTGTTTATTGCAGATAAAAAGTTTGCAGTCCAAAAGTTATGGACTGCAGCTTTAATTCTGAAAATAAATAAATAAATAAACAACAACAAAAGAGATTCTAATTATTGGACCAAAAACCTGCACTTGTAATAACCTAGAATACGATCTAACACTTGATGGCTGCTCTGTCAAGTTTTCGTCGTCGGTTAGGAACCTGGGTGTGCTTTTTGATACCAATCTTTTATTTGAAAGCCAGATTTCTAACATCTGTAAAACCGCATTCTTCCATCTTAAAAAAATATCTAAACTACGACATATGCTCTCAATGACATATGCAGAAAAGGTAGTTCATGACCTCAATGCTAGATTATTGTAATGCTCTTATGGGTGGTTGCCCTGCACGCTTAATAAACAAACTCCAGCTGGTCCAAAACGTAGCAGCTAGACTTCTTACTAGAACCAGGAAGTTTGACCATATTAGCACGGTTCTGTCAACAGCACTAGCTTCCTATTAAACATTGTCAATTAGAAAGATTTTAAAATATGCAGAGCACTAAATGGTTTAGCTCCTCAGACTTGAGTGAGCTCTTAACACATTATAAGGGGCTTTCGCACCGGAGAAACCTTTTCATAGCTCCTAGAATTAATGGCAGAGGTACCCACTTTTTGGTGTGTTCGCACCGCAAGAACTGCGAACGATTTCAGTTCTAGGAACACCTTTTGTGGGGACTAAATTAGCTCCTACTTTAGAGTAGGGTCTAACCCAGAACAATAGGAACTACCAGTGACGTAAGTGTATGCTGATTGGGCTTAAAAAGAAAAAAGAAAAGCCATGTACACTCACAGATTATATCCTATATATTTACTCCAGAAATGAACATGGAAAACAGTGATAGAGGGACCTCTCAACCTTTACGCTGAGGAGAAAATCCAACGCAATTTTGAGGAGACCAAGCAAAACATGATTATGTATTTCTGCTCAGCTAGCAACATTGGGCATCAAACACATGGCAAACGCTAATACTTTCTAAAATACTGTCTACTTTTTGTATAACAGTTCTATATAATAACATATTAGACAGGACTGTTAAACAGATCGTAAACTAATGAAGATGGAGAATGGGAGCACTGTGTGCTCAGGCTCTGGCGTTCTCAGCGCCGTCAAAATAAAAGTCACAACAAGCACAGTTTACGTCACTTCAGAGTTCCTACTGGAGGTGCGAATGCAATCAGGAAAATGGCCCAAGGGAACATTTAGTTCTCTGTGAACCACTCCGGTAGCTAGTTCCTAGAACTACCCAGTGCGAAAGGGGTTATAGTCCTTCATATCTATTGTGATCTCAAAATTCTGGCCAGTTGATAACACCATTAATACCAACATCATCTGCAGGCGGTAGATCCTTTTCCCATTTAGCACCCAAACCCTGGAATAGTCTTCCTAGCCTTGTTCGGGAAGCAGACACACTCTGTCAGTTTAAATCTAGACTAAAAACATCTCTTTAACCTGGCATACACAACACATTAACAATTCCTATTATTCAAATCAGTTAAATGAATGTTAGGCTGCATAAACTAGGTCAACCGGAACCAGGAACACTTCCTATAACACCCGATGTACTTGTTACATCATAAGAAGAATGGCATCTACGCTAATGTTAGTCTGTCTGTCTCATCCTTATCCCAAGGTTACCGTAGTCAGCTGTATCCGGTCCATATCCAGTTCAGATGGTGGACCTGCACCTAGACACGACCAAAACGCAGCCCTGAATGTCAGCAGGGACCGTGTCAACTAGACAATCCCCTGTGAAGGCCTCATCGACATGACAGTCATCGGCAGGTCCTCCGCACAGACCCTATGGCCTTCAGCTTCGGCTCCTTACCGGTGTGATGAATTGATCTTCAAGCAAAAGGAACTAGATAAATATTTGAATGCTTATTCCGATCTGAATTCTGACTTGTGATGCAGCCTGAAACATCACACAGGAGAACTGGCCCCCTGACTGAGCCTGGTTTCTCCCAATTTATCTCTCTCCATTCTGTCACCTGATGGAGTTTGGGTCCCTTGCCACTGTCGCCTCTAACTTGCTAGCCGAAATAGCCGAAATGCATAATTTTCTTGTAATCACTGTAAAGCTGCTTTGAAACAATCTGTGTATTGTATAAAGCGCTATATAAATACAGATGACTTGACTAAAGCCAAACCAGAGTGGTTTGACTTTAGACTTGTGAAATTATGTATAATTTCAAGATTAGAAGCAAAACCAGAATGGTCTGACTTAAGATTTGTGAAATTATGCTGAAATTAAACAGCAGACTGAATAAAAATGCAAATTCACTCTCTGACAGTAGGTGGTGGTTATGGAACAGCAGAAAGAGGAAAAGAAAATGCCATCAAAACTTTTCTGAAGACAGTCAGATCCCTTCAGAAATACATAACCCCCCACCCCCAATTCAATATTTATAATTTTCTTCCTCTATTTCGAGCATCATGAACAACGTGCCTGGTACAGTATTTGCTCTGCTGGAGCATCTGTGTTCTCCTTTGCATCTGTCTTTAGTGCATCCCATTTCTAGCCTGTGTCAATGTCCTGTTAACAGACTGTAATATTTCCACACAAATGACATTTTGGGAAATGATTGCAATGCAGTTTGTGTGCAAGTCCGAAATAGAGATCGGCCAAAATAAAACTAAAAAAAGATTTATGGTCAGCCGACCGGTGCATCTCTAATTTCATGTGTTGTTACTTGTAACTGTGTCATTTCTTTACATCACGTCATAAATACAAAAAATACAACACAGTGCCCTGCATTGAACAGGGGTGCATTTCCCAAACAACAACGCTTTACTACCCAACTCTCTGCTCAACTACCATAGTTGATTTCTTGATTTCATGTATCGCACTAGCTAGTCATGGCAAATTTGCGCAAATACGGTTTTGGGAAACAGACGTTTAACCATGTTGGTTAATGATGTCAAGCAGGTGGTGGAGTAATAACTTATTTTAATCAATCATTTTAAGATCGAGTTAATGCCAGATTTTTTAATATAAATTACAGACATGGCATCTGAGGACTAATTGTAATTTTTCTCAGTTATTTTGCTTTATTTCCAGATTCAATCATAGGCTCGTTCTTACGTACTAGAGCACATACACACATGCGCACTCTTCAAGAACATTGCTTTAAATCTCTTGACAAACTAAGAGACGTAAATGACATTTGTATACATTCAAAATAAAAGATATAGCTTGTACTGAATGTCAGCTATCTTGTTATTTTGCTCACGATAAGGATTTATTATGATATTTATTTACGATTAGGAGTCCAAATGTCATGCAAACTATAAACTATGCTTCTAAACACAGGTCGAGAGCTGTCGTTCCAACCACACAACTTTGCGATGTTGTTTGCGAATGTTCATTGGGCAACACAGACTCATTGAACTAAACTTATAACAAAAAGGAACTTGCGACCATAGTTGGCTTTCGGGAAACGCACCCCAGCACCGTTCAGAAGCAGTCATTATTAAAATGGTGTGAACACAACAAAAGGTTGTGATTATACTGCTGAGGAACAGTGTTAACAATACATTTTAAACACTGATTCTTCAATTCCTCTGCCATTGGAAGTCCATGTGATGTTTTGCCCTTACAGTCCAAAAAAAACAAAAAAAAACTGTTTCCTTGACAGTGATAAAATCTTCCTGGACTTTTAACTACCTTTGTTTGAGGGCTATCCAAAATAGCCAGTAGACGGATATTTTGCAAATGGCTTAAATGGTGACGTAGCTATGTCACAGAAATAATAGCAGGACTACAAATAATGCGTTAAAGCAGTTCTCTTCTATTGTAGAGATTCAATCCCTTTGAACTTTCAGCATGGACTGTGTGCTTTGCAGATTGTTAACATGCACAAACAGCTATATTACACACGAAAGGAAATGTACAAAAAAAAAAAAAAAACACATAATAGATCCCCTTTAGAAGTTGAAGGGTGCCATTCCTGGGCCTCTAGTGACACCAAAAGGAAGTGCAAAAAATAATGATTGCAAGTGGTGCAGAAATTACACAGGTTGTGCCAAATTCGAATGGAGAATAACTCAAAGCTGCATTATTTCATAACCAGAGATGACACCGCTACATGCTAAATATTCTTTTTTTGGAATATAATTGTGCAGGTCTAGTGGGTTTTTGCATACTGGTAGTATCTTTCTACGCAGAACCAGCCATACAAACTATAAAGCACAACATTCGACTCACATCACACTCGTTACAGTAGTAGGCCGGCTCATCCTTCACTCTGCTCTGGTAGGAGATCTTCTTTCCTGATGCCACCAGCTGGTCCCTCAGGATCTGAATGTGCTTAATAGACTGAAGGAGACAGTGTCTGAAAAGGAGGGGGAAAAAAACAAACAGTTATGAAATGTCCATGCTACTTAATTGTGGTGTAACCTGGTAAGAAAGAGTCTGCTGCATACTCACTTGATCATCTTGTAAGTGTCTGGATCGCTGACTTTGACGTTGCGTGCCACGTTCCAGGACACGTGAATCATGGGAACGATGGATTTCACTTTCTTCACTTCGTTCCACTCAAATCTCTCTAAAGCCAACTGGTACTGATATGCTACAAATACAAAAGATAAAGGTCTAGCAAAAAAGCTTTTTACATTTCTGTGCCCTGGCTAAGAAATTTTAGTTTTACACATTTTGTTGCAACCGTTTAAATGTAACCATAAAGACTGATTTCTTTTTATCATTGAAAATTTGTAAGGTTACAAGGTCAGTGTGTAGGTTACTCACAGTTGACAGGCCCCACATTCCAAGCAATGTTGTTGCACCAGCCTACGGCTTGAACCCAGTGTACAGTGCCTGCGTTGATCCATACCAGATCTCCTGGCCTTTGGATGAACCGGTACACAGGGATATTAGAGCGGTACAAGTCATCCAGAACCGGCCACCATGATCCTGTCAGGTAGTCCACTCCATGCCTGAGAGAAAATTCGTTCACAAACTTAATATATTTTGTGGTTAAAATTAATAGCCAAACAATATTTTATTCCTAATGAAAGTATGTGTGTTATTTTGACAGAGTTTTTGATAAATTGAGTAACTCTACTGTGGCTTAAAAAGACAGATTTGGCATGTTTCAAGTTCTTACTTTTCACAGAAATCACTGATGGCCTCCCAGTAGTCGTCATGGACAGAAAACCACTCACAGTCTCCAGGCCCAATATTGATATTTACGGAACAAAAGTTATTGTTCTCCTGGTGTCCTGATGGCACAAGCATTAAACATGAAATTTAACACCAATAAAGAACTACTTGCCAAAGCAGACTAATCCATCCTTGGCTGACTACAAATCAAGAAAGTTATTTGTGAGATCGAGTCAAACCTGGTGTGCGGCAGCCAGGGACCTTCATGTAGAGTTGTACTGTATTCATTCCCAAAATGGTGTGGCCAACATGGCTCAGCATATTCCCACTGGAAGAAACGCGCATAAACGCCGGCAACTTCTGCAGTTCTTGCAGCTGAGGCTTCCATCTAAAGCACAAGACAACACCATTTAGATAATACAGATTGCTTGTACATCATCAAGACATAGTTGTGTAATTGCTGTCTGCGTAGAGACTTTCATTTCATCCAAAAGAAGATGCTGCACACGTTGAAGTAATTATGCACAATGGTCTTACCTTTTGGCATCGGACAGGTCAATATTGGTGCCAAATTTTATTATCTTCCCCACAGATTTCTGCTCTGAACTGTAAAAATAATGAAACAATTAATAACAGCAGATCTTTATTCATGCACACACAGTGAGGGTGATTTATTAAAGTTTTAATTAAATTCTTAAAGCAAATGTTATTACTTTTTTTTCTTTTTTTAAATAAAAGTAATTATTTGGATTAATTCAAGAATTAAGTGCTGAGGTAATTTGCAATAAATTACCTGGAGCCGGGAGCTGAGGAGTTACTGGTCAAATTCTCAGAGTTAGAGGCCGATTTGTCATCTTCCTCCTCCTCAAAATCACTGCCCTTTTCTTCCTGCAAGGTCAGACAATGGTATGGTGATTGCATGATGTATATGAAGTCCAGTAATTTAATAGTTATATCAAAACTGTACAAACAAGAATTCTAAAGTGTTTGTTAATTTCCAGAGGTGTATTGGTCATTTTGCAAACACTGTACAAGCTTTTATGGTGTAGGTTTGTGTTCACACCTGTAAGCTCTCTTGGAAGCTGGAGGCCTGGTACTGGGCATACTTGGCAATCGTTGTGTGTGACCTGCTGCTCTCGCAGGGCCAGGTCTGGCCAGTGCCAGTGGAATCCCAGTTCTCATCCGCTGGCTGTTGAACCTGGGTCCGAACTTCTACTGCATGCTCCGAGTTTGCCTCCACCAAAGACTTAGTTGAAAACAGACCAAGATCTATAAAGGAGGAGGAATGGAAAAAAAGCACAACTTAGTTTCAACAACAGCAACTGTTTGGACTCAACTGTAGTGTTACAAAATTGAAAATCTGTCCATCCACCATCTATCCATAAGACATGTGCAGAAACGTACTTAATCTAAGGGAGCCAGCTAGTCCCCGGATGACAGTAACTGGGTTTTTAGAATCTGTGCAGAACTGCAGCAGGACTGGAGAGAATGCATCTCTTTTACTTTCCAACTGTAGAGAAACACCAACATGTCATTAATCATTAAGACATACTTTTAACACTTTCCCTGACATTCACAGAATTTTCAGACAATCCATGTTTCACTGTTAGTACAGTAGGGGGTGAAAAAAAGGAGCAGAAACAAGCGATTAAAGCATAGCTTATGCACGTTGTAGTCTTAGAAAAAAACGCAATTTTCTCAGCTTTTTGTACAAAATGTTGCTTTTTTTAAAATGAAACTTATCCAAATTCAAGTGTTGATAAAAAAAAGAATGCATTTAGCTAGAATAAAATGTTTATCTTTGTCTTTTTTTTTTTTTTAAAGCAGAGGATCTGTTCTTTCTTTTGATATATTGCATATTCAGATTTTCATACAACAAAATATTCAGGAGGCCATGAAAGTTTTCTGAAAATTATCAAAAACTGGCAACTGGCAAAAAAAAAAAAAAGGCTGGGAACTAAAAAAAAAAAAAAAAAAAACGCTGGCAGGGAAAGAGTTAATATACACCAGAACATCAAACTTAATATTACTGGAGTAGATGTTATTGTGCATGTAATACAAAAAAATGACCACCAGGGGGCAGGAAATGCTACTGCAGTGCTTACATAGATACTAGGTGTGGGGGGGTTGAGTTTCTCTCGAGGGATGGGCATCTCTAGGGGCAAAATTGGTTTAACAGAGAAGGCAGGTAGGAGGTATGATTCCTTAAATTTCTCCTTCATACGAGCTCCCCTGAAAAAACAAGACATTAAGTATTAGATATGGTCTTTGATGGTCCTTATGACATTAAACTAAATTGCCACTGCAGGCAAGAAATATTCTGTTTCAGAGATGTCCTGCATGGAAATATCGCTTACTTGCAAGCTCTGATGATTTCACTAGCGGTGTTCTTTATGGTGATTTGCTCTAGAGGAATCCTCTTCTCCTCCACCTCTGAAGCAATAAATGTCTCCCTGTCCCCACTCTCCACTTTTATGAGGCGTATCTTCAGTTCTTTGGGTGGTCCATCTGTCAGTGCCTTTAGTTTCTGAAAGTCATCCGAACAAAATGCTGATGAAGCTGATGGGAGATCAGAGGAACGTCCTGAGCTGCTGTCTTTGTCTCTACTTTGTGCCCACTCTTCCCCTTCGCTCTGAGATTGGTTACATTCCTCTTTCCTTCTCTTCTTGTCTCCATCACGCTCTTGTTCCTTCTCCCTAAACTCCTTACTTTGAATGTCCAGGTTACCCAGCACCTGCCTGCTCTTCTTTTCCTTGTGTGACTTTCCGTCCCTGTGCCGTCGACTGAAGCTTGAAGATGAGGATGAGGAAAGAGACGCATCGTCGTATCTTTCTCTGTGCTTTTTCTTTCTCTCTTTCCTGTCCTCATGTTTTTTACTGCTACTGTGTTTGTGTTTCCTCTCTCGTTCTCTTTCTCTGTGTCTGTCCTTTTCTTTAACAGGTTTGCATATCTCCTGTGACTCTGCCTTTGAGTGGCCTTTATAAGGGAGAATGTGTTTGTTCAACTCATAGCTATGACCAAGCTCTGCTAGCGAAGACTCTGAGATGGTGGTCAGTTTTGGTCGTCTTTCCAACAAGTCTTTCACAGTTCCAGAATCCTTCTCTCCTGTGGGTTCTTCTGAAATCTCTTCCTCATCATCATTGCCCAAAAGATCTGACTGGCTTATTTTATCCCCTCTCTTTCTCTCGGACGCCCAAGCTGTAGGCGAGAGGGGACAGGACTCACCTGAGTTACTAATGGCAGGGGTTTGCGTCGGACTGCTAAAACCTGGGTGATTGGTTGTACCTGATGTGGGAGAAGTGCTTTGTTGTTGCCTGCAAATGTCAGGCCCCAGAGAAAGAGACGAGGAGTACTTAACTCCCACAAAAGCAGAGGGAGGAGGACGACCAAAGGGTCCACCCCGGTAGGTGTATTTCTGGCTCTCAAGCACAGATGCAAGGTTTTTAAACATGCTGTTCACACCTGTCTGGTGGAGATGTGGCCGCTGAGGTGGTGAACAGGATGGCGTTTCATCTTCCCGTTCAGCATCATCTTCATCATCCTCGCACTCACTTTTCTCTAACTCCGAAAGGCCATACAGCTTGGCCAAGTCACTATGACGATAGTTGGTTCCTGTTGTGGCAAGAATGCTTCCTCGCGACTCCATGCTAATGGAATTGGCAGACTTGGGAATGACCTTTAGAACCTCCTCTTCTTCCTCAAGTGAAGAAGTGCGACTGCAAGGCGATGCCAAGGAACCTTGCCGACTTAACACAGGTGGGCTTGCATGACTCACTGGTTGATAATCCTCAGTTGGAGATTGCTTTAGGGCAGGCACGAGGTCCGGTGCGCATAAATAACTCTTCATCTGTGCCACATTAGCAGAAAACTGAGGTTCCGGTACTGCCTGTTCTCCTCTCTGACCAGAATACAACTCCTCCTCTTTCTTGATGGACTCATCCAACATCTTCATAATGTTAGCCAATCCATCAGGCAAGAGCTCAGAAGTTTCCTCCTCAAATTGGGCACCATCAGAGTCACCACTGCAACTACTAGCACTGCTACCCAGACTACCAAGTCCTGTACTGGGCATATGTTTTTGCAGGCTATTTGCGGTCGTGCGGATTTGTGTGCATGAAGAGCGAACATCCTTGGGGAAAGCCTGGTAAAGTTTGGGTGGCTCTCGCAGGGGCGGGGGGTTGGGAATAGCATCCAAAATCCCAGGGATATGAGAGGTTTTTAACATGGTGATATCTTTGGAGGGGTCAGGTTTTAATTGCATTGCGTGGTTGTGGGAGGGGCTGATGAGACCTGACTCTGAGGGGTATGTGGGAATCCCTGGGGGATTCTGAGATGGTGCCCCACTCTTCCATTTCTCTCTCTGCCTTTGCTTCTCACGGGCATATTCAGTCTGTGGGGTGAGAGGGGGTGGTCGTGGTCGTTCATTAATGGTTGTTGCAGTTCCAGAAGGACGTTGGGGCACTCCTCCTCGACTCAACCAGGGATAAGGTGGTGAATTCTGGCTAGGAGGTGAGATGGAAGAGGGTGCATTGGCTGGAGACAAACGAGGAGGTAGAGGCTCAGCTGCACTACCTGACAGCAAACGCTCCAGACTCTTGATTGCGGACTCACCGTGTGGCTTTGTCTCCACTTCTTGTCGCTCTACATTCCGTTTCCTCTTTTCCTCCTGCTCTCTCATTCTCTCTTCTGCTTGCATGTGGCCCTGCAACTCTGCATCAAGTTTATTTAAAGCATCAGCAGTGGATTGAGAGCTTGAGGCAGCAGTTTGCAAACAGGACCTTAGGTAGACTGGGGCTGGAACAGTAGTAGTTGCCTGAGAAATTGAGGGGGAAGCTTGAATGGGCACTAAGTTACATGAACTGTTGGATATTGGCTGGAGGGCTGAACTGACTTTTATGTGTGCTGGAGGTTGAGGGTGATGCAAAGGTGAAATGACGGCTCGTTGGAGAGTGTTAGAGGTCTTGCTGGTGATGACGCTCTCCCCTGATCTCTGAAGCCCTGAGTTTAGGGTGGAGAAAGTAGAGGACACTGGGGTGTAGTTAGGTCTACCTTGTCCTGTGTGAGGAAGAGTGGACTGCTGAATCTGAGATTGTGCCCCTCTATATGGGTGTGGAAGGGTTCCAACACCAGGGTGGACACCCTGATACCCTGGATGTGGCAGATTTTTACCAATCATGGATACATGGTTTGGGTTTGAGATTAGCACTGAAGAATCAGTTCCTCTCCAACTGCTTAGGGTGCTGGGGATGGAGGTGGTGGTAGGGGGTGCAGAGCTCATTGTAGGGATGTCTCCAACATTGGTGTATAGTCCCAGGGAGCAAGGTGGACGAGGAGTTTCCAGGTTTGGGGTAATGACAGGTTTTCGAACAGGGGCCTGAGAAGGACTCACACGTTTGGGCGTCCCTGGACCCTGGTCGCCCCCAACAACCTTATTCTGTGCCTGAGAAAGGCGTGCGACAACCTGAGAATCCCCTGTTGCTGAAATGTCACGTGACTCCTAAAGGGAAATGAATATTAGAGTCAACAAAACAGGTCCCAAAATTTTAACTATAGATAACATTTATATGTTGCGTATCATGCTATTTAGTAATATTAGTCAGGCAGTAATTATCAAGTTAATTATTAAATGCATCAGAGCCGGGTTTTGGTTATAGGGTTAGTTCACCGAAAAATTATAATTCTGTCATTAATTACTCGCCCTCATGTCGTTCCAAACCCATAAGACCTTAGTTCATCTTCGGAACACAAATTAAGATATTTTTGGTGAAATCCGAGAGCTCTCTGTCCTCTCCATAAACAGCAATTTCATTACCACTTTCAAGGCCCAGAAAGGTAGAAAGACATCTAAAAATAGTCCATGTGACCACAGTGGTTGAACCTTAATTTTAAGAAGGGACGTCTGTGTCAGTATCCTACGCAGTTTACGTTGTAAATACAGTGCAGCGCTTCCAGGTTCTACGTCAGAACACCGGTTCTGTATTCAGCCGACGCTGTTCACATGAGCACTATGACGCATGCGTGTGGTGCTGACGCAGGAGCTGGCCAATAATGAGCCAGCGTTCTGACGCAGAACTCTGACTTAGTTTATTGCGCACAAAATGTATTTTCGTCACTTCATAAAATTAAGGTTGAACTATTATTTTAAAAGATGACTTTACTACCTTTCTGGGCCTTGAAAGTGGTAATTAAATTGCTGTCAATGGAGGGTTCAGAGAGCTCTCGGATTTCATCAAAAATATCTTAATTTGGGATCCGAAGATGAACAAAGGTCTTATGGGTTTGGAACGACATGAGGGTGAGTAATTTATAATAGAATTTACATCTTTGGGCGAACTATCCCTTTAATATAAGTTGAATCTGTGTGATTCACTTTATTTAATTCTCTGTGCCTGTTACCTGGTTCTTCCAGGGTTTGTTGGGGTTGTGCTGAGGTACTGTGGCCTGGGCCTGGTTGCTGGCTGATGGGCTGGTGGAATGGATCAGCCCTGGGTGAGGCTGGAACTGGGAGTGACTGTAAGGCACAGTGGTGTGGTTTGCTGGTGAGGGTGCAGGGCGCTCCCTATCTGCCCGCAGTGATGATGAGGATGTAGGTGGTGGAGGAGGATGTCTATCCAAAGAATTCAATACAGAATCACGTCCTCTTTGTGTAGTAGTACCCTGTGGTTGCCCTTGGGTTAGAGCTGAAGGTCTGTTGTTGGGGTAGGGGTATGTTGAATGGTGGGTGTGAGGACTCTGTGAAGGTGGCCCCAGAGATTGTGATGATGGACCGGTCTTGTGGGACTGTGGTAGTAGAGGACCCCTGCTTTGTCCGTAACCTCTTGTGGGGGGAATGATGGGTGAAGACATGGTTGATGGATTCAAGGAAGGCGGTTTATATGGGAAACTTCCAATTCCTGGTTTGGCTGAATCCTGGGAATAGAGCATTAGAAAAATAAAAAATTAAGGAAAGTACATCTAGATGCAATATCAGTAATAATGCCCATACACCACATGACAACGGGTTGCTGTGCTTTTCACACTACACAAACAGTGGATCGTAAACAAGTCCAGATTTTTAACCTGCTAAATAGATTTGCCATATATTAAACTGACACAATACAAGAAAATATAACTGAATATTAATATTCAGATCAGCGATGACTGACCTGGAAATCGATCTGCCCGCTTTTGCGTTCATTTGGATTCCAGAGTGCTCCTCCTTTGTGCAGTGGGCTCCAAAATCCAGGTTTGGGAGAGGGGTAGTGAGAGGATGGCTGCTGATTCAAATGTACAGGTTGCCCAGGTATACGCTCCATGGCTGAATGAGGAGCCTGATATAAGAAACAGAAAAAGAGAGGGCTTTTGTTAAAGGAGAGTTAAGATAGAAAATGCATGGGTGAGGCCATAAAGACATTACCAACCTGCTCAGACCCAGAGCTCTTCTTTCTCTTGCTTGGACCGGGGCAGTCCTCCATGGGTCGGTGTAAAGATGGAGCAGGGGTATGCTGAATGACAGAGTGCTCTCCCAGAGGTTGCCCAGGCCGTTTTAACTGTCCAGAATGAGAGTGAGGTCCTCTGGGTTGCTGCTGAGTCTGGGCTTGAGTCCATATATCAGGTAATGGAGGCATGGGCCGTGAGCCATGGGCTGTGAACTGAGGTTGAGGAGCACCATACTTGTGGAGAAACAGACAGAAACAGAGTTTGGTGAGAGTACTCTTAACCCTAATATTCAGTTAAGTGAACTACAGTGCTACACATTCAATTGAATTCTTAAACGTGTAAATTAAAGCTAGTTATTTTCTTACTACATGAACATCATTCATGTAACAAGAAAGGAACTGAAAAATAATGAAATACAATATTCACCTTCAGTAGCTGATTGGCTCGAGCTGTGAGGTGTGAAGGAGGCCCTGCATTGTAGCCATTGTGTAGTCGGTTGTGGTTTTCACCAGGCAATGGCTCATAACCCTGGCCAGTTCTGGTTGGTTCCCAAGGTCTTGGAGGAGCAGGGGGCATCCTTTGTAATCCTGGCAACAAAGCCTGAGACAGGTCTTGCTTATCCCCTCGATGTAAAGGACTGGAAATAAAAAGACATTAGCCAACTTACAACGCAAGTTGCACGTTTTGCCAGAAGTGTTTGTAAAACAACAATAAAGCTTAAGACACTCACCCATTGTTTAAAAATTTACTAGGCTGGTTTAGGCCAGTCATGTGACTTGGTGGCATATGTGAGAGGAACTGGTGCTGACTGACACCAGGTAAGCACCTATCAAGAGAATGTTTTTTTCTTTGATCATTCCTTTTGATAGCTCTGTTAACACAACTTTATCCGTGAATTCACTAAAAGCATAACGAGGCCCTAATAATGAGGTATATTACCTGGAGGGAGGTGGCCAGGCGCGGCTGCCCACGGGAGTCCATGGTCCCCGGTTGAGTCCGTCCAGAGGAAAAGGGTCCCGTGTGCTGCACCCGGTGAACTGTTCTGGTGTGTGATGCATCCAGCCTAGACTATATAAAAAAAAAGACAATTTATGTAATATCCTACACATTTCCAATATATTAGCCAATACATCTGTCACTACCGGAAAAAAACTTCCCTACATGCTGGAAAGATTGCAAGGAGTTAAGTGGTTGTGACACTGAACTATTTAACTACTAACCCATGATGCTGCCCTAACTGTCTTAGCTTAAATCTGAACAAGTCAGATGGAAGAGCAGACATCTAATCTCTGTATTTAGTGGCTACACTGAAGTGTTAAGATTACAAAATAATGTTATATGCACCAAATATTTTGATCTAAAATACCAAGAGAACAGTACACATGATTACTCACCACACTAGCTGTGAGTTTGAAGCCCTCCACTGCAAAACAGAGAGGGCCACTCACCAACACGAAGGAGAAGCTGTTTACTGCTACCCCTGCCAACTGGAGAAAGAAAGAAAAGAGGAGAGATGGCACATAAGGGGGTGAGGCACAAATATACAGCCAAATCCATTAAACACAGGGGGAAAACACATCCTTTGTAGTCTGTATGAGTGTTTGGCCCGAAGGCAGCGATTAACAAAGGAACCCTCCAGAACATCAGTACCACTTGTAACCTCTAGGGGGCAGTGCTCTTCTGTATTCGAATGGGAGGAAAGGGTGCACAGATGGGCTTGTGGGAGTTCACCTATAGGGTGAGTACACTGAGGTCATTATAACCCTTCCCGAGGCCTCTTGGCAGAGGGTGAGAGTGATGGGAGGGAGGGGACGAGCTGAGCAAAGTCCTGGAGTCAGGCCAGCGGTGTCTGTGTGCATGTGTACATAAAGGAGTGTGTGTACTTGTGTTGTGTTGCTTGAGTTTGATTATTTGCATGTGTATGAGTGTGTGTGTGTGTGTGACAAGAGAGGCACTGAGGTTAATCTCATTAGGCCAGGCGTGATGGAGAGAGGAAAGGACAGAAAGAAAGAGCAAGGGGTGGAGGGAGGAAAGGAACAGCAGAAGGCTTGAACAGGATGGATGGACAGATTAGGGGAAAAAGACGGGTCTAAAATTAAAGTGTTCTTTAGGGAGACTCCAAAGTGAGAAGACCGGCTGTGCTCCCATGAAACACCCACGCATGCGAACACACTGAGCTTCCCACGCATTCTGAACACACATGGCACACCAAGCGCAAGCTGGATGCACAAATATTGGCAAGCGTGCGTGCACACACTCGATTGGCACACGCACATATATGCCCATACAGCAAAAGACGCCTAGCACACACTAATTATGGACTTGCCAAAAGCGTTTCAAGTGTGACAGGCACTTTCTATAGCACAAAACACACACACATTTATTATACAATAAAATAGGCAACATATGCAAAACTTGCCATCAATAAAATGCTGTATAACCTGACGGGTTAGTCCTGGGCTAGTTACCCAGCAGGCAGAGTAACACTTTCTGGGGAAATTTACGAGCCTTTAACACTTCAATACAGTGTTTAAGCTGTAATTTTGGTGATGAGGCATAATTAGTCCAAAGATATATATGCATACGGCAGTATTGAGACTGTTTGGATACAGTACGTGTGTGAGCTATTCCTTGCTCAGCAGGTTTAGACAGACAGCGCGTTTATGTGTGTATTTTGAGCCTACAGTACATATGAGCCCACCCACTCCTCTCTGGCTCATGGTGTTGCACTATTAAAAGGCTTCTCTAATATTTCAGGAAGTCAGGATTTAGCTGCTAGTGGGGACTGAAATAATCATGACCCTGTAATACACTGCATTCTTAGACCAGTTTCTGCATATTCACAGACAGACAGAGAGACAGACACACACACACCTGTCAAATAAGCATCTAGCACCACTTCTCAAAAGTCTGAAGAGTTAGGGTTTAGCACCAACACTCGATCATCTCTGCCGACTCTGTGGTCGTTGATCACTGTAGAGAGAGATAAAGAGGTAAACATCAGTGCATTGAATTTGACTTCACTCTTATTTGTTTTCCTGGTCTATTACTTTGGCTTCATTCCATCCAATCAGCACAAGTGCTGTAAAAACAGCCAGGCCTCGCAGCTGTGCCATCAATAATATCACAGACAGGCTGTCAAAAATGACTTCGGAGAAGAAAAAAGCACTACATTTTATAAGACAAATTGTGATTTAAGAATCTGACATGACAGTATCAGTCATAAGTTTGGACACACCTGCTCAATCACATTTATTATTATTATTATTAATATAACAACAATAATATAGACTATTTAAGCTGCTTAAAGCTTTAGAACAAAAGATATTTAAGATTTTTTTTCCCATAAGAAACATTGAGAATCCAAGAGAGAAGTGGATGTTTTTAAGAAACTAAAGGAAATCCGTCTGCAACACTGGGAGCTCTTGGGTGGTGAGCAGGAAATCCATGATACCGTCTCTCACACACAATGGTGAGAGTTTTTGTGGGGAGGTGTCTGAATAAACACAGGCCTGGCGTACTGGTGTGGAAAGCCAACTATCACATATGAAAACGGTAGCTTCGGAAAAACACTCCATTAGAAATACAGGGTGGATAAAGTGTTTTAAGGGGTTTTATATCTGCATGTTTTTAACACAAGAGAAATGTATACATTTGTATGAACGTAGTATATAGAACAGTATATAACGTAAAGCATATACAGTATATAACGTAGTATATATTGTATGTATAGCCTATAGTTTGGGCTCTGCTGTTAACCTTTAATATTATAGTAATGTGCAGGTAAGGGCTCCCTATATATAGTAGTAGTCAACATTTGAAGTGGATCAAAAAAGTTAATCAAAGTTGTCCTAAGACAAGTACGGGTATTGTTCAAAATTCATGTATAACTTTGATGAAAGGTTTTGATCCACTACAAATGTTGACTACTGTAGTTTAATTCAATTTTGTGTGAATTCAACTTCACAATGCATAAATTTAACTATAATTTGTATACCTGTTACATAGGCATGTGCACAGAGCACACCAAGGGTCTTTAACAGTGGTCTTCAACACTATGGAGCCTTTTTCACATTTCCGGGGTTCTCAGAAGCGGAAGTCATCATAGTAAAATTAAATTTTTTTTGTATTCACTGACAAGGTCATATAACACAATATAGGCCACATGCACACTACAGGTAAATTCAGTTGTCAGTTCACCTTTTGGTGCTTAATCCCATTCTGTACACAAACAATTCAGTAATTTACAGGAGTGGAAAATTAAGCGTAGCGTCAGTTCTGGCAGGTCAGGTTAGTCAAGCTCGCATCAGTGACTCTCAGCTGATCCACACGTCTACCTATAGGAATACGACACCTATCACTGTGTTCATATATAAGCTGCTTCAGTATCAGCATCTATCGTGTTTCTCAGGAGCTTATTACCCTCCTCCATCCCCAGCTCCTCCTCTCGTGCAGTCAAGATTTGGCGTTCGGATTCCCCTTTGAATCAGACAAAATTCTCGAATTATGTTGTACTTTAAAATCTTGAATTAATGATATCTGCAATACATTCTTGTTGGTTCTGTTCTGGTTACCCTAAAGCCTGGTTCACACTACATGATTTTAAGCCCGATTTGCAAATCGTTGAGCTCGCCGACAGGTCAGGGTGTTATCGCGAGCAAATCGTGGGGGATTAGCGGGCGATGAACACTCGCCGATCTGTTAGTATAAAAGAGCCAACAACGCATCAAAGACTCTCGCAGACGCGTCGCCGAGCCCAGAAAAATATCTAGCATGCTTGATTTCCAGAGCTGTCGCACGACTCAACCTCACGTGATGTCATGAGCTACAGCCAATCAGAGCAAGCCTTGGGTTGAGGTCACCGGGTAAATCTTATTTTTTTCTTTTTTTGCGTTTTTTTTTTTTCTCAGAGCAAATCATCGCACAAATAGTTTGCAGCACTAGTTTCTGTCTGACGTCCATATTCGCGTGTTGTGTTGTTCTTCGTCTTCTTCGCTGGGTATTGGCACGCGTGCTGTTTCGCGTCATTTCCGGTTCGTTTTATCGCGTGATTTTTCGTGACAAAACGTGGTTTGTAGACAAGATAGAATCGTTGGATGACAGAGTTGTTGTCAACTCGTGTAGTGCGTTACCTCCTGTTGCGGATCAATCACGTTGTGTCGTGTGGTGTGAACAGCTCAACAACTTGAACACTCCTGATTTCACAGAGAGCAAGTCATGTAGTGTGAACCGTACAGTTCAGCCCGATGTTTTAAAATCATGTAGTGTGAACTAGGCTTTAGGAGGCTTATTGCTGCTCTACGGGAACCGAACAAATAGTTGTTAATGACATATTTTAACGTGCATCAGAGATGTGTCCCTCTACTGTACGTGTGCGGTGCAAGACATGGGAATACAGGGAAAGTGGTACAAGTCTTAACTCATTTGGGTTGCCAGATCTCCCTAGAAAAACAGTGAACAAGAACAAGCCCCCAAATAGGAAATCAAAATGCTTCATGCTGGAAATACGAAAATATTGCGAACCGAACCTGGTCACTTTAATCACTCCATAAACATGATCACTTATGAGCCATGCTTAACCAACAAGCCCAAAAACGCTTATAAGTGGACAAAACTGTGCTTTAGTTAAAACTGTTGAACAGAGTATTTTGTCGCCGTACTTTGGTCAGAATAGCGATACCAACCTCGTGAGACCTTACTCAAATCAAATTTTTTTCAGTGTGCATTCATACTATAGAAACACCCACACATAAACGCAAAACGAAACTTTTCTGTACTACATTTCCACATCTCGCATATTATTCTGCTACGGTTTTTTACGAGAACATGTTTTTCGTTACTAGTAATATAGATATTGGAAACAATACAGCATTCCGAAACTGATCCTTAAACTTATTGTAAGAGAGAGAAATTGACACACACAAGGTCTGATAACAACTAGCTGCCTGTTGTCTAATGGGGAACTCCCATGACTCAACCATGGAAAGGGCTTACCCCACAACCCAGTCTCTCCCCCCTTCTCTTGCGCAGTCTTTACGGTCAGGTGATCGGGGACGCCCACCTCAGTCACAGTATCGGAAATTTCTGAAAGTGTGCCGTCATCGATAAACATATGCACAAACATATGCACTGTAAAATTACAGTGGGGTTTTTTTCTAACCAAAACTCACCGACGACGATCAGCCAGGAGAAAACAGTTGGTTTGCGGTTGGTTTAATTATAAAAAGGGAACGTGGATGTGTGGTTATTGGTTTATTGTAAGGCATCGCATCTGCATTCGCTTTCATGCTACAACCAACAAGAACTGTTTTCTAGAAATGCCATGTGTATTTACTCATACTTAGGTTCAGAAACTCTTTGGAAGTAACTCAAATCACTTTCGATTCTTAAATGTTACAACAAGGACATCATAATTAGAAAATTTCCCCATTCACCCCCCCACGTCGACCCTCATCTTGATAAAAAAATCCCCATAACAACAAACATCAAACAACTATTCCAGTCACTGTCTTGGTCGTCACACTTACCAGATCAGCACCTAAAAACACCAAACAAATCGAAGGCCACATATGTGGGCGTCTCCAACCGACATGGTCCAATCAAACAACAAAAAAACCCTTCAGGAAATAACCTCATCAACTAACCAACCATACAGCTGGACCAAAAGGTTTGACATTTGAAGTGATGCGTACATAATTTTTTTTAATTTAAGTTATGAATCGCTTTTGAAAGAATAAAGGGCTGACATCAGTAACATGGCAATGTGAAAACAATCCCAAAAGGAGGAGATTATTTTAAAATAGTGATATGGGTCATGTCTGTGAATGATGACGACACTATCCTCATTCCTGCCAGAAACCACCACAAAGCTACCCGGAGAGCCAAAACAGCTGAGCAGAAAGTATGCAGAAAAGAACGACATGGAGTCAAGGAATTGCGGTGTCTGAAACAGATTGGAGATAAGGATAGGAAGAGGAGAGGAATTGGGAGAAAGCGGAAGAGCCTGTGGGTGAGCGCTCACATTTGGCCATTATATAACCCAGCTCAGATACAGATCACACTCAGAGGCACAAGGAAACACAACGTCACAGTAGGCTTGCGTCTGTTCTCTTCCCTCTGTGTGTGTGTGTGTCTGCCTCTGCCAATGATGCAAGGTTGAGTCGTCACAGTGGCGTCGCTGCATTTCCAAGCCCACACTCGTAGCCTCCACACACTCGTGCGCACAAGCAACACAGTGTACACCCTGATTCAGAGAGGGAGTTCGGCTGAGGACACACACTCACATGTAACTTCATGACAACCTACCCTCAACCTGGCACCACCCTTCCAAAAATAACACTGCAATAAATACGTTCACAACTGGCCCCATTCTATGCAGTGACCATGATTGTTTTCCCTGCTCTTGTTTTCATGTCATCGCCCTTGACCTAGTTCCTGATTTATGTTTGCTAGACAGACAATAAATCCATCAGGATGCGTTTAATGATTAGCGCTGACATCACAGACATTGATGTTCAATAAACACTAAAATGTTCATATCCACATTCGCCGCAAATGCAAAGTGCATGTTTAAATGAAAGTGCTGTTGTCCATCTGGTATCAGCTGTTAATGAATAAATATGTAGGCTAATATATAAACCAGGGCAGATTTACCATTTAAAAAAAAATAATGAGGAAACTCTCTCTTATTAGGAGGGGAAGGACACTCAGGTGACCCTAATCTAAATACTCACTTTCAATCTTGAAGTGACACCAAAATAATCCATTTTTACTCAGTAAATTGAATCTTGAATACAGGTGTCAGCTAGAGTATGATTCGTCTCAAAGGGAAACATGATGCTTTTCTTAGTAACTAGTGGTCATGTCCTGTTACGAGAGAGTAAGCATCCATGCGGTCACTGTGGTGAGCACTGCTGAGAAAACACCCTTAGTCATTACCTTAAAGGTGATTACTGACACTGATAAAAGGGATA